GAACGTCAGACAGAACAGCGCCAACTCATAATGCTTTGCTTGCTCTTACCATTTTTGTGCATATTGGCTTCCTGTGTGGCTACAGAGGGCAGTCCCTCCATCATGGAGGTCCACTGTTTAAAGCGAGACTCTGTTCCAGCCTCCTTCCCACCAACCATGCCATAGTCCATGCTGCCAGAGCCGAAGCCTAAAACAGAGAACCACGTTTTATGTCTTTCTATAAATTTCCAGTATCAGTAACCAAGAGTTCTAAGGCAGGACCTATGAATAGCTTCATTTGTAACTTAAAGACCAATTTACAAGAAGTTTCTTCACTCAGAAATGGATATTTTGATTCAAAATGCTGATCTTGGCTCTTGTTTGCTAAAAATGTGATGACTCGGTTAAGGTATGAAAACGTGTATGACTGCCAGGTAATTAAGACTGTCTCAAAGCAGTTGTGCATTCGCTTATTCATCTAGCTCACTTTTGTGCCAGGCACAATGTTGGGGCCAGTGATTCTCCAATTGAGATAGAGGCATCCACATATCAAACCAACATGGTATGAGAGCAGCTATGAAGCTGTGGTAAGGGTATCAGGGGAGGAAAGACGCTACAGAGAAAGGACATCTGATCTCGGGGCCTAGGGCAGGTATGTGAATAAGTCAAGGAAACCAAGTACAAAGCTCTAACTCATGACAATAAGTCATATTTAGAGAATGACGACAGTTCAATGTGACTCCACTGCTTGGCCAACTATGGATGAAGTGAGGTAGAGTGGCAGGAGATGGGGAAGAGATGAAGAGTCATGTCACATTGGGTCTTTATATATCAGGTGAAGGAGTTTGGACTTTTTCTCTAAGACAGGAGATAAAGAAAATTTTAAGCGAGAGAAATAACTAGGTTTGTATTTAAGAAAGAGAACTGGCAACGTGAGAATGGGGTAGATGGAGTCAGGATAGAATCTGAGAGATCAATTTGAAAGAAGTTTTTATGCAATGATGAAAACCCCAAAGCCTGAATCGGCAAATTGGTAAGAGGTTCAGAATTTACTTTGCCATGAGCCCCCAGGGAAGCCTCAGGTGCCAGGCTTTCAGCAAGAGTTTTAGTGGACCATGTTTTCCTACTGCACAGGGCTAGAAAGATGAAAGCCAATGTGAAAGGCTTGCTGATGGAGTCTCACAAGGTCCATTGTCCATTCTGGACCAGAAGGTACTTAATGCTTTTTGAAACTGACTCTCATAAAAGTAAAATAAAGGCCTAAAATAAATAAAATAGGGGAGGGGAAGAACAATGAATAACCATAGAAAGACCAGAAGGAGCCATAGTAAGTACAGCAGCAACACACAAGTACAGGCACTCCCAGGGAGGTGAGTGGGGTCCCCACCACGTCAAGGCTCAGGTGACCTGGAAGAACCAGAAACCAATCTACGCTGACTCTAGACTGTGCAGCAACAACCAGGCCGGACTCCATGCTGTACCCATTTAACCTCCTACCATCTGGCCGTGTTACTGACACGTAAGTTCCATTTATCCACATCCCACTGAGGGCCCAGGTCATGTTTTTCTCCCCTGTGCTTCTCCCAGTTGTCAGGGATAGTTTTATAAGTTCATAATAAATCAAGCTCAAATCATTTTAACACTTGCTTGGCCCATGTTTAAAATGTCGCTATTAATATAAGGAACACCACTCCTTTACCCTGTTTGTAACTGACTTCACAAGTCCGAATGATTGCTTGGAGGGTGGAGGTGGGAAGCAGAAATCCTTGGTATGAGCTGGAAATATTTCAAATTAAATAATTTTTTTAAAAAAGGTTTCGGATATTTTCTTCTATTGTCCTATGTAGCTGAAATGAAATGAGACTGGAGGACAGGGAAGCTGAAAGGAACGAGAGCTTTGTCCGACATAAGCTTTAATGGCCTAAATGTGTTACTCCTTGGGCAAATTACACTTCTACCTTTGACAGAGAAAATCAGCTCAAGGTGCTTGGACTGCAGGCCATCTGAAAGCTGGTTCCAGTAACTGAGAAAGAGCTTTTGAAAATAACCCTGGATTCTGGTGAAGTTAAAGAGAAGAATGTAGGGATGAGTAAGACTATAAGGAACCATTTCTTACACATTAATTTTCTTTAAAGTTGCTCTAAAATTTCTTTAAAATTCATGGTGAATTAAAGATATTTAATTTTAGCTGCTCAGAGTTCTTTTGCGATATGGGAAGTGTTGAAAATGAGTAAGAGTTATAAATCTTAGGGGAGGAGAGTTTGAGCAGGTCCATTTGAACCTTAGGCATAGTGGGCATCTTTCTCATTAGAAACTAGGGGATAAAAGGCCACCAAGATATGGTAGCACTGTAACTAAATAACAGGTTTGGTGAGGAAAAAAAATGGAAGGGGGTGCAGGGGAGACTAGGAGATAAAACTGCCTTGAAAGGTTTGATCTACAAACTCAAAACTTTGAGAGGAAAAATCAATGCAAGTTTGTACATACTCTGTGTCTTTCTTCAATGTCATGTAGTAATTGGCATGACATGAGGATATACAGAATGTGCGCAATAAATCTGGACGGAAGGGATTCTGGGTAACTATGCTCTAGTGCCTGCATTAACAGGAAGCAGAGGGCATTTGCTTGTGACCTCTGGGCCATTTACGAGTCATCTTACCTCTACACCCAGGAAAACAGTGATGTTATTATACTCACTATTTCATCAAAACCAAACTTGTTCAGTCCAACAAGTGGCCTACCTGTAATTCTCCAGCTCACCAACACTTTAACTCAAACCAAATAAACCATTTAGTTCAGTTGAATGAACATTTATGGAGAGCCTAATTTGTGCCAGGTGCTATGTTAGGAGCTTGCAGCACAGAGATAAGACATGCCTCTTGCCTAACCAGGGGCTCATTTCACCAGTATATCCATTTCGCCTATCTTATAGTTCTCGCAAAAAAGACCCTTTGTCTACCTCATCTGTCCTTGTCACAATTACTTTCTCCTGCTTCCACACACCCTAATTCATTGTCTATTCGTCACTAACACTTGGCTCAGTGCCAAGTGGAAGGAACTCTCTTAACTTGTCCTTAGCTGATCACTCCTTCACTCCCTTTGTCTATAGTTCTCTATTTCTGCTACTTTTTGCTGTAGATTGAAAAACTAGTGCTTTTACAATAATTATAATAAAGAATAAATTATAAAAGAAACAAATCACCCACAGTTGCTCATCACATGCACATGTGATACTGACACATTAATAATCCTAGGATAGATATAAATTACTCTTCTGCTAGTTAAATAATTTCTAATATTCATAACTACTTTTCACTGGGTATACCACTCACATAAATATTACAGATTTTGATATTTTTAAACATAAAGAGAAAATTTTATTGGAAATGCATTTTCTAATAAGATGAGTGACTGTTCCTTGATTAGTTCAGATACTATGAATGACTATGGCTTATTACTAGAATGAGACCAAGTTCACACTACTCTATGCCTATTTTTACAAAATTTTGTAAACATAAAGTACTAAGAAATTTTATATAATTAAGAGGATGGGAAAAGAAGGAGACTTGTTATAACATTATTTATTTCTTCGAATTCCTTTTTAGGTATCTTCCCTTTCCCCCAGGGTTCAATAACATAGATACTAAAACACCACTTTTAGATGAGTCATCATCACCTGACAATTCAATTAGGTATATTTTCAATTTTGCTAAAAGCAGAGAATTAGAAAACCAACTATTTAACAAAAACATCAATTAAGGATTAGTTAAGCAGTCATTAAAATCATTCAACTTTTTAATTTTGAAAAAATATACTAAAAGAGGCTTTATCAAGACTTAAGATTATTCTTGCTACTCTTTTACCCACAGATATCTTTTTTAGTTCGATATATTCAGCATTAGGAAAACTGAGATATTATTTATTTTATTACATCTTTGCCATATAATCTTTTTTGAAAAAGTTAATCTCTGTATATGCTTTAAATATATTTTCATCAAAATCTTATAGCTACAGATTTAGTTCATTCAAAACAGGCAGGCAAATCAGACTTATGCTCAGTCAGTCCCAACATGTATTTTTCAATTCAAATAAATGTGGTAATATAAATTAAGGAAAATTATAACTGTGAAATGAATTACAAAAATGCATCTTGTAAGGTAGATTATAACTGGTCAGATCACAATTAATGATAAAGACCCAATAAAATGAATTTATCTGTTGTTTAATAAGTTATCAAATATAAACTAGTAAGTCCATATGTTCTTCTTCCTTACTTTTAATTTGGTTTATGATACATAGCTAAACGTGTAAGTTACTTATGAAACAGGACTATGATGACAAACAGGACATTTCTTTAGTATATATACATATGTGTGTATATTGAACTCTGATCCTTCAGCCACTAGTAATAGTTAAGACTCAAATACAATAATCACATATAACAGCATTAACCTAACAAGACATTGTGATAAAATTTTCCTATATATATAATAAATGAGAAAGGTATATGAACGAACAGATTTGCAGCCAACATGTCGTTTTACTTTTACTAGGAGGTAGAAAATATCAATGATGTTATAAGGACTGTCAATGGAATAAACACATCATCATTTTAGGTTTCTGACAATTGACTAATGCATACCCAGACTAAAGGAAATGATATAATAGTTTACCCACAGGCTTTATCTGATGCATTGTTAAAACATGTATTTAAGAGTCAGTGTCACTAACTGATTTGCTCAAACTGTTTGAATATGCTTTTCTTTCACCTAAGACATGGGATGTCTAGGGATGAGCACTGAGAAGAGCTGAAAAGAACACGTGGGAAAGCCGTTGGTGGCTTCCAGGGGCTCTCTTTGCTTTGAACTGACAGGACTCTACTTCGAGAACTATGCACTCTTTGACAAAAGGGGAGCGAAGGAGAAAAGTTGCCCTGCTTTATTATCGCATATGGTGATAATAAATTCAGAACAACTCAGCACATACCAAGATACCCAGGTTATGTCAAGCTTCATCCTGAACAGAAAACATGATGAAGGTGAAGACTGGGAACCTGGCAGGTAATGACACCTTCCTTAGTCATTACAGGAGGTGTCCTCCTTGCTTGGTACCCTGGCGTTCTATACTCAGATGAGAATGCCCTCGAAAGATATGGGATGGTGTAGAGTTTGCCCTTCTTTTATGTCAAGTGCAAGAAAGGTTATTTTAAATTTAAGTCAGTTCTCAGGCAGGTCATTTTTAAGAGTATATGTGATGGAAGTTGAGGATTTGGCAATTAACTCCCTTAAAGCTATCCAAGGTCAAGGAGTCCCTGAAGTCTTTGCTCTTCTCTGCATGTGGGCACCACAGTAGGAACTGGGCACCTCACAGAAGTAGAGCACAGAGAGCAAGGCCATTTGTCACCTAGGAGCCTAAATTTCAGGTTTCCCACACTCTTGTTTTTGAATGTGCACAGTATCTTCTTTACCAAAATAAAATCTAAATGTCAATCTGAGAAGAAACCTGCTGTGGTGTGTGGTACCTTTTTAATTTTTAAATTTTATTTTTAAATTGCTATTGCCGCACTGATTAGATTCTGCTTACAACACGTTCCCCAGTTCTGAACGAGCTACAATTCGCCTGCCAACAAATTCTTGATGAATGTCAAAGGTATAATCTTACTTGTGCTAATTCTATTTAAATCAGATGAAATACTAATACCAGAAGAATTTTATCAGTTTGCCTTATAATTTTAATTTTAGTACCCCATTTTTTTTCAAGAGATAGTAATTTTACCAGTATAGCTAAACATCTCAACTTGTATATATTTTAACAGGTTAAAACCTCAGGTACATGTAGTACGCAGCATGTACAAACGTTTAAACTGGCTTTTAAAAATTCCTAGCAGTAGGAAAGCAGATTGCCATAGTAAAAGACTCTTATGGTCAGAAGCTGGAGCCCTGTCTGTTATTTACTGATTGTGTTTAAGCTTAGGAAAACCGTCGAAACTCTAGGGTGTTCATAACTCAGATATCTCATCTGTAAGACAGGGATGAGAATATCTACTTTGCGTGGGTGTTGTGAAAACAGAGGGTAATATAGGTCCACTTCCTACTAGAGGCTTTATTAAAAAAGCAGTTTTCCTTTCTAACCACTTACCAGAACCATATCCAGGTATTGGCCCTTTGGTTTGAAGGTCTGGGAGCCCCACATTCAGAGTGTTGGGTACCATGTTGTCCAGATGTGGCTTGGGCCCAACAGGATGAGATGGTGAATGCTTCATGCTAGGCTGTCTCTGCTGCTGCTGCTGCTGCTGCTGCTGGAGCGCACTCACCATTCGAGCCAGCTGGAGGCAAGTCCAGAGCGAGCAGGAGGCCCAAGGGGAAACAGACACATGATAAGCCAACACCCTTAACTCCACAGGACAAGGCTGTGTATGATTTGTTTTTGCTATCGGAGGGTGACAGATGGGCAACTCGCAGAAAGCAGGAGAGGGCCCCTGCCGATGTCATTACCTGCTGCTCTTGCTGCTGGCGCACAGCTTGAGAAAGCTTCCTCTGGCTCTGCAGCAACTGCTGCTGCTGCTGCTGCTGCAAGAGAAGCTGACATGCCTACAGGGGAGAAGAGAGAGGGCTTAAGTCTCCTAAGGTGGACTCGCTGAGGATAGCGGGAGGGTGTGTGGGCTGAAGTACAGATCACTGAGTCAGGTGTCCGTGAGGTTGTACCACTAAGTTCCTGGTCTACTGGTCACATTTACCACCCAGTGAGCACATAGAAAACACGGCAAATCTAGTTAAAGAAAACAGAAAAAGTAAATAATCTTTTTGGCCATAGGAGGAAAATCTGCTACTTACCAACTGAAACTGGGGAATTTGTGGAAGCTGGCTCAGCATGGCAATTTGTTGAGGAGATAACTGGGGCCCCACATTGAAAAGACCTGGATTCAGGCCACTGTTGGGAAACTGCTTGAGCATCGAGGCAGAAACCTGGTAAAAAGGGAAGGAAGAAAAAAACAAAAAGAAAAAGAAAAAAAGAAGAAACTGTCAGAATTTATCAAAATAATTTTTTGAGTTTGTGTAAAAAGAATCTTAATAGATTTAAAGGAAGTGTCAATTTTTTCCTTGAAAAATATTAAATGACTGGGAGAAATACACCAACGTGGTTATCCCTGAGTGGTGACATAAGAGCTTTTATATTCTTTCCTTAGGCTTTCCAATTTTTCTACAATAAAAATTATGAACTTTACAAGCAAGAAAACATCTGCGAGACTAAAAAATTTTAACGACAATATGACTTTTGTTGGAGAAGTTATTACTGGAAATGTGCCAAACTACATAAAGCTAATACATAAATGCTTAAAAGAAAGTATTTCTGTTATATAAATAAGAAAAATATATCAAACTTGTAAACAAGAGCCACTGGAGTTTCAGCTCATGGCTCCTCACACCAAACACTCAGAGGTGCAGAGGCATACATAGCAGGGGAGCCGAGGTCAGGCGGCTTGGCTAGTTCCCTCCCCACAGTGTTCAGGAGTGAGCTGGGCTACGTTGCAGGAACCTCTGGGGACAGAGGAAGGATTCCCTCCCATCTTTGGATGGCTCATCTTTGCAGAGCCCAGAACAGAAAGCCAATTTTAGAAAAGTCTAGCACTGAGTGGGCCTGGCCATCACTAATCATTCTGTTAAAGCCCTTCTTCATTGAACAATCCTAAGATCTCAGTTTCTCTGATTGTACCATAGCTCTCAATTCACGCACTACGCCTATTGTCATTTAAAATCTACGATATTTAAAAATGTTTTGCTCTCCTATATAATATTTAAGCAGGGGTTTTCAAATTTTATTAATTTATGTTTTGATCTTAAGACATTACATTTACCTTTATGTGCATGGCACATAATAGGTGCTGTATTAAGCACCTATTAAATGAATGAATATTACATTTTAACTTATTAACCGTCCCTCTACCAAACTCTTTTCTACCCTGTTATTCTACTCATTCCCAGTCTGCGTTTCCACATCTGGTCATCGATTTGAATAATGAACTTGACAGAGCTGAGGATAATCTAGTAACATGCCACTAAAAACCAAACCTGAAACCAATCAGCCTGGGAACCGTCAATCATTTACTAATCCACACAACTGTTTCAGCATTTAGCCTATATTTTTCCATCTTGTCTAAAACAAAGAGATAGCTTGTCAAATGGCTTGTCAAAATAGAGATACAACTATGTCATTCTTATAATCCAAGATTCTTTTTACCAATCAAGGAAGGAAATGAGTTAAGTTTAAACTTGTTAGCAAACTATGATTCTTGATTCCTATCACAGGTGCTTGAAAGCCATCTTTTTGATAAGCTAGTCTAGAATCTTGCCTGGAACTGGCACAAAGTTCATCAGTCTTTAAGCGACTTTCCTTATTCTTTTAAAAATTGTTTAAAATTTCCCCCTTTTTCCTCGTTTCCTTGTAGGGGAAGGGTGCTTCCCTCCCATTTCTGATCCGAGGCTCCACACAGAGGAGCACCCATCTTTATTCCAGTGACAACACTCCAGGTCTCTTTTTCTTTCTTGTTAGCAAGCCTACAGAGATGACTGCCTGGTCCACCTGCAGGGGGTAAGTCTGGAATTCAGTATTAGGAATAGCTCACATTCTCTAGTGTCAGTTTTCCCAGTAGTAAAGGGGGTAATTTGGGTCCCCATACGCCTTCATCCTCTGTCTTAAAAATTCAGGATTTAGGCAGCAAAGAGGGGTTGTCATTACTAAACTCGCCTCAAAGATCCACAGTCATTGAAGATCACAGGCAGGGCTGGCCATTCTCTTCACAAATTCTCTGTTGTAGAATTTACATTCCCTAATTTAAGGAATCTTAATCCTTTTGGTTGAACATCCTTATTCTTAATAGAGAAGAAAAAAGCAGTAAAATTTTATTTCCACTTCACTGGTCAGCATTATACAGAGTCCACAGTGACTCCTTTCCCAGTCACCGAACTGCACCACGCCAAACTCTGACACCTCTTTTAATCTGCCTACTCTGTTGCAATCCTCAGTTTACACTGTATTCTAATCCCCCAACTCGACTCTTACACATATTCGACTCGTACACATATTCGACTCATACACATATTCGTCCTTGCTTGCATACCTTGATTTTCCATCTTCTGAATATGCCCTTCTAAAAACGGAGTCATCAGTCATCAGAAAGCTTTCATCAGAAGACCCACTGGGTCTCCCCATTTTCTTTCTTTAGCATCGCACTTAAATCCCTGTTTCCTAATATTTTTGAGTCACCATCTCTGTCTGCCACATTCTCAAGAATACTTGCCTATCTTTGGACACTTTTTAGTCTACAAACATCCAAGTTCAGGTTTTCTTATACTTGGCTTACCAACTCACTTTCTTCCAAAACCTCAGCCACCTTCGCTTAACCTATTGATTCTATCATTTGGGAAAGTATTTTGGTGTAAAGCAATAGTTCTCCCTGCTTCCTCTTTATCCTCTAAGAGATGCTGAATGTTGCCAATTAATTGAAGAAATTTGTTCGATTTTTCTATTTTAAGTGTTGGTCCCCTAGCAGATGTGAGCTCAAAGCAAGCATACTGCAACTGTGCAGTCTGCCTCTGTACCAGCTTTACGGCCAGTATGAGGGACACGCCCTCCACCATTTCTCCCAGGTAACAATTCTTCATCTCTCCTTTCACTCAACTGGTCACCAATGTGACAACTTATTGTCTTTGACATAATAGTTCTAATTTCAAAATATTAAGAATTTTTTTGGGGGGAGGGCTATGAGTGTAGAAATATCCTACACTAGCAACACCATATTCCAAACTGGAGTCTTAGTCCACTCTACCTCACAGTGACCCATGCAATCCTATTTACAGTCTTCAGTGGAATCTCTTGTTCATTTGATTTAGCAGCCATTCTGGGTTGTACAGTGTTCCTCCAAAATTCATGCTCACTTAGAACCTCAGAATGTGACTTCGTTTGGAAATAAGGTCTTTGTAGATATAACCAAGTTTAAGATGAAGTCATGCTCGATTAAGAGTGGGCTCTAATTCAATGACCACGTCCTTATAAGAAGCAGGAAATTTAAACTCAGAGACAGAGAAAAGGAAAAGTCATGTGAAGAGACACAGGGAAGAACATCATGTGAATACGGAAGGAGAGACTGGAGCGATGCATTTATAAACTAAGGAATACCAAGGACTGGCAGCATGCACCGGAAGCCAGGAGAGGGGCATGGAATAGATTCTCCTTAAAAGCCTCCAGAAGGAACCAACCCTTATGACACCTTGATTTTGGACTTCTAGCCTCCAAACTATGAGAAAATAAATTTCTGTTGTTTTAAGTGACCCAGTTTGTGGCAATTTGTTGTGGTAGTTTCTAAGAAACTAATACAGTAACTACGTTTTACAGGCCTGTGCTATCCAATGTTAACACTAGTCTCATGTGGCTACTGAGCACTTTAAACATGGCTAATGTACACTGAGATGTGCTTTAAGTGTAAAATACGTATCAGATTTCAGAGACTTGGTATTAAAAAAAGGTAAAAATTTCAATAGTAATTTTTAAGCATTGATTACAGGCTAAAATAATAATTTAGCTATACTTAGATAAAGAAAATATTATTAATTTCACCTTTTTCTTTTTGTCTTTTTAAATGAAGCTACTAAAAACTTTAAATTACATTATGTGGCTCACATTATATTTCTATTGGACAGGGCTGTACTAGATTATCAGCACTGTTTCTAACTTCTTTTCCAACGTTTTATCCTATGACCTATGAGAAATCTCCTCTGCTTATTTTGTTTCTCAATCTGCTGGCCTCCGAAATAGCCATTGTCTGAGCTTTCATTTCTCCCTACTTTTTCATTCAGTTTTAACAGCTCTCCTGAACAAATCAGCTGGTCTCCTGACCAACACATTTCTCTCAGTCTTGAGAATGTATGCCATTCCTTGCCAAAAGACCTTTATTCTATCCTTTTATTATTCCTACTACTCAAAATTAGCTAAAGAAACCACCATTCCAAATAAAACATGCCCATGACCCAGAAGTAACCTAGAGAAATTCATCCTGGAAGACAAGTACAAGAATATTCACAGCAGCAGTGCTCACAATAGCAAAAATCTGCAAACAGCCCAAGTATCAATACTATATGAACTGCAACTGCCCAAATCAACATGGGAAAATCTCAGGAACAATATCAAGTAAAAAAAAGTAAGAGATTTTATTACATAAAGTACAAAAAAGGTAAAATTAAACAATATACTGTTTAAAAGATAGACATACAGAAAGACTATAAAGAAATGCTAACACAATATATTTTTATACTTTAATTTAAATGCCAGCACCTCATATGTTCCATAAAATTGATAGTTATAAAGGTTACACTTGAGGACTTCCTAGCTAGCTCTGCTCAACCTCTCCCTTCTTCAGACTGCACATGCACTGTCCTTCTCCAATGAATACAGAAGGACCAGTGAGAAGCACCACTAGGCTCCTGGCAAATGGCTATTCATACCTGAGCTGCAGAGTAATTAACAGTGCAGGTTTGCACATTCCCATAGCAGGGAGTTAATTATTCTGGCTTAAAAGGCCTTCACTCTCCAGCTGGGTTGGAGAAAGCGAAGATCGAGTTGAAGCCAATATGGCATTTAATGAAGCATTGCAGGTGCAAAATGACAGCAATTTAAAAGCAAGACAAAAGCCTGCTAGAATATGTTACTTGCTGAATATCTGACTAAGGATAAAAAAGGCAAGGTAGAAAAAGTCAAAGCCTGGAACATTTGTAACAAATCTTAAAGAGTAGTTTCAATGTCTTCTTTCTAGGTTTACATTAAATATTGACTGCCCTTATATTAAGTGGTTAAAACGGCTGTATAATTTAAAAATATTTATCAAAAATTTTAAATGTTTATGTGCTTTGACCCATTTCATTCTGGGTAACTAAATTTAGAAATAATGTGGGTAAAGATATATGTATAAAGATTTCTCTAAGCATTATTTATAACAGTAAAAAATTAAAAACAATTTAATATCCGAAAATGAGGGAAGGGAAATGGAAGTAAGTCTACCTGATGGAACTTTATGCCTTTTTCGTTAAGAATGATCAACATGGAGACTACACAGTAACAGCGAAAACGTGATGACCTAATGCTGATGAGAACAGCAGGATATAGTGGCCATGAGTAAAATTACGTGAAAAGTCTGCTTGTACACAAATGAAGTCTGCATAGGAGACTGTGTTGAAATAATCCCAATGATTGTAACGGGGTTGGGGGTTTCTAGAATTTTTTTCTCGATTAGCCAAACTTTCAGTGCAGCTATTATATTGTCCTTACTTTTTAAAAAAGAAATACAGCTACCCGATTGCTTTGTTTTTTAAAACATGAAAATGTCAGGAAAGAAATCAAAGACTCCACTGCTTAATAGTCTATCCTCATTATGCATTAAATGTTAACCACATTTTGCTAAATAAACAAATTTCAAAAATGTAGGAGAAAAGCACTTTTCTCTTCCAACAAGTGCAGATACTCTGGTCATAAAGAGCTCTGCAGCCAGTAAGTCTCTTAGGGCTCAGTTAACCAGTGCTTTCCCAACAATGCCACTTTCTAAATCATTCTGAAATGCATCTACCTTCCCATGATCTGACATATATTTACTGAGCTCGAATCCATGCCCTGCACAGCTGTAGGTGTCCAGGATCCAGGTGAACAAGGACAACACATTTGGCCACGGTGAAGCTTAGTCCACTCCTGGGGGGTGGGAGGAGGGGAGAGATGGGGAGTTGCAGAAACCATGGTGGTGGGTGCTATGCACAGCCTGGCCTGGGAAAGCCTCTCTGACAAGGTGGCACTGAAGCAGGAATCCCAAGGAAATAAGGATGGAGCATGTGGCATTCTGGGAGAAGAGCGTTCTGGGAAGATGCTCAGTGTGCTGGGGCCGGTCGGCTGGAGAGGACTGAATGAATGGGAGAGTGGCAGCGGGCGGAGTGGTGGTGTGGAGTGGGGATTGGGGAGACCACTATGAGCCTCAAAGACCAGGGTAGAGTTAGCTTTGTATTCTCAGTGAGAGAGCGAGCCATGAGAGGATTCCCATTCAAGTGGAAACATGATTTACCTTAACTTTCTACATTGACAAATGTCTTGTGTTTGTATTATCATGCAGGAGCTACGAACCAGGTATGGCTATTTAATTTCAACTGATTAAAATTAAAAATTTAGTTCTTCCATTCGACCAGTCGCATTTCAAGTGCTCACGTGGCTAATGGCTATATCGAACAGCACGGTGTTAGAGAATCAGCCTGAATGCTGGATGAAGAACAGGCTCACGGCAGCCAAGTGTGGAATGAAGCAGGGCAGGGACCAGGCAGGGGGCCGTTTCTAGGAGTGAAATGGTGGTGCCGTGGCCAGGGGTCATACTAGAGGGGGTGATAAGAAACGGTCAGCTTCTGGATAAAGCTGTGAAGGGACGATTTCTCGATGGACTGGATCGGACTGTGAGAACATGCATAATGAACTCCGAGGTGTGAGACCAGAGCTCTTGCAGAACGAGTGCCATTTCCTTGGAGGAAGAGGATATTTTTGAGGGGAGCGTGGGATGAAGTCAGATGTTCGGTTTAGGACATGTTAACTTGCGATGCTTATAAAGCATCCTAGTAGAGGTCCCTAGAAGTCTATAAAGTTGAGAAGGGAGATCTGGGTGGAAGACATTGTCAGCGTTTGGAGCTGTCAGTATTTAAAGCCATTCCACTGGGCGAGATCACCTAGCAGTCACTGCAGACGGGGAGAATAGGCTCGAGGACTGAGACTAGGGCCTCTCACATTTAAATGTTGGGGGAAGGAGGAACTTGTAAAGGAGATGGAGAAGGAGAGGTAGCTGGAGAAGCAGCAGGTGTCTGAAAGCCAAGTGAGTTAAGTGCTTCAAAAGGGAGGGAGTGACCACCTGTGTCTAATGCTGCTGCGACGCTGAGTAAGAAGAAACTGGAGAACAGACCACTGCATTCCACAACATGAAGGTCACCAGTGCCCTTCACAAAGTCGTTCTTCCCACCGCCGCTGCCTTACCTGGACCCCTGCACTAGCCTTCTAACTGGTCTCCTCTGCTCTAGTGATTCTGCCATTCAACCACGTCCTCTGTGTTACAATCAATGTTATCCTTCTAAAACATAAATTTTCCTACACTGCCACTTTGCTAAAAACTCTTGCTTAAACTATATGATCTATAATAGTAGCAGCCGAAACTTGGGCTCCAACACCCAAGATTCTGTCTCGGTAGATTGGGAGAGTCCTGGGAACTATATTTTTAAGTTGTAGCTCAGATGATGGTTATAAACCAGGCTGACCAAAAGACAAAGTCCAAACTCCTTAGCAAGGCAAACAAAGCTTTTCTGAATATGGTCCCAAACTTCCTGACTAGTTTCTTCCTATTATACTCTACACAGCATCTGTATGCTTCCATAAGCTCTAATTATTTAAACAAACCGTTATTTCCCCAAACGTGCCGTGTTCTTCCAGCTCCTGCTTGCCCAGAAGGCACCTTTAGTCTGGCTGTGCCCAGCAAACTCTGACTTACTCCTCAAGACCCAGCTTAAGTGCCACTGCTAGTGTGAGGCCTCGCCCAGCTCCTCAATCTCTGTTAAGCATTTATTCTACACAACATTTTTCACACTATTTGCTGACTATTCTTCCATCACTGCCACCAACTCCAGGAGGCTGCAATGGGAGAGATGGCGTTTTCTTCATCTGTGCTTTGTCAACACACTACCTGGCACACTGCAGATGGTCAATAACCATGGATGGCTATTGGCCTGATACTAAGGCATATTGGAAAGAGGTCTAACAGTTAAGACACTGCCATTTTAAGTGCTGGGAAGTCAGGAACAGGTCTGTCTGCAGGACATACCACTACCCGGGACCTGAAAGATGACTGGAACTCAGAGGGCGGGAAGAGAAAGAAGAGAGACCCTAAGGGGACGCCGAGATTCCCAGACAGGACCATGAAGATGGGGGTTAGGGGAGGTCCACAAGACAGATATGGATTCAATGTCAAAAATAGGATGTGAAAGCTATAAATGACAGTTTCAAAGAAATATTTTAAGCTTCTCTCTTAAACATTTCAAAACCTAAACAACCAAACCTGACCCTTTCACAACCTACAACCCGCTGGTTGGATCCAGTAAGTGCCCTCACCCCCTTTTACAGGATGAGACGGATTCAAAGCTCCTGCTCATACTTAGTTCACACGAGGAACATTCTAAGTATAGTAAGGTCACACACTGAATCCATACACAGGCTTATCAGCTTTTACTTTGCTTCTGAGACCCATTTTCTGACAAAAAGGTACAAGGGACAGCATGCAGTAGATTGGCACAATCTCTCAACTGTAGCCTCCAAAACTCATTGCACATTTCCTACTAAGAAATGGACTTAAAAAGTTCCCATGGTACTCCAGGACAGTGTCTTACAGCTGCTCTGTGAATAAATCTCTGCCACTTCATTAATTCTAAAACTGCCCCTGAGAGCTCCTGGTCAGTACTTTAGCAGATAGCCCTTCAAAATCTTTCAGAATAATCCAGAACCTGGCAATTCTCCTGTTCATCTGTGGATGAATCCTTGAGGACAAGCAACTTCTGAATGCTGACACAACAGAACTTACAAAGTAGTTTTAATTACATGTCATTAAAAATTCAATACAATATTAGAAAAAATATACAGGCGATCTAAAAGTAATGTAACCATAGTGTTTTCCATGCAAAAACTTCTACTTTGTATGCACGATACAATAAAAAGGTGAGAACTGATATTTTTGTTTAAAAAAATCTTGATCCTTGACATCTGAGTTTTTCAAATTTAGAACTACTATTATTCCTTTTAAGCCCACAAAAGCAATCTGTTGACAACTGGTAACCCCCTGGATGGAGTTTACTTCTGAACTGTGGAAACACACAATTGCTTACCTGGGGGGAAATAAACTGGGGAGGCACTTGCGCCCGGAGACTAGGAGAATTTAGTGGCTGCACCGGTGTGTGCATACCTCTCGATTGTGCTGTGCTATTTCCAAACAAACCGTGATTGCCACCCTGCAAACATAACAGCAGCGTCAGGCTTTTTGTTAACGTGAGAAAATGCATGCAAAAAAAAAAAACAGTTCAGGTTTTCTACCAGAAGAATCATATCCTGTGCTCCATGGAATCACATAATTTTATAACTGCAAAGCTCCTGACCTTGGAATGCTCAGGAAAATTATTCAGATCCAATCATGGGCATATTATCATCACCCCTGCTATCTGATTAACTCTATAGCCAAAAGGGTTAAATTCAGTCAAATGTTAAAAAAAAATCCTATTTTTTTTGTAATTGAAAGGTATAAGCAGTATGACATTTCAACTACTTTCTTTTTTAAGATTGGGTTTACTAAATTTATTCTCAAGCTTTATAATCTAAGATCCATCTTGAAAGGTACTTGAGTAAAAATGCACGCTTATGAACAATGTCAACTGTAAAACACCATATTACTTCTCCATGCTGGTTAGTTCAAGCAAAAAATCAGTGCCACCCAACTGTGAGCCTAGCTTCACGAGGGCCCTACTCCAGATCTGAACACCCTTCCCTGTCTTAGTCCCTTCTTTGCTAGATGAGGAAATCCGAAGCAATCACAGAACGAGATTAAAAAGGAAGAAAGGGAAAAAGTGAAAAATCATTACAAGGACACCAAAACAAACATTACTCACCTGTAGCTTCTTATTCAAATATATGATTATCGGTCTAGTTAAAATCAAGCTTAACTCTCTGATTTCTGGAGGACCAATTCATTGGAGCACTTCTACACTGTTCTAATCAGAGCTATAGAAACCCGGGCTATATGACTGCCCTTCGTTTCTGACTTGTTTCCAGCCGAGAAAAGTCCTTCAGCAAAGAAACCATGTTTGATCCTTGATACTGTGCTCGCCTGAGGCGGTTCTCTACAGCACCTTCACTTGCCTCTTCAAGGCCCAGCTCACAGGTCATCCTCATCAGGAAAGTCTTCCCCAAGCTCTTTTTCCTCATTTCACATTCACTTAACTGAGTCTACCTCTGTGTTCCCCAAATACTTTAAAACTCTTAAGACAGCACCCGCCATTCAATCGTATTGTAGTTATTTTCCATTTTCATCTTTCCACCACCAGCTTAATATTTCCCTCATTCTATTCCCAGAATTCAGTAAGGCCCTGGTCTGTAGGATGGGCACATCATTTGCAAACATCCATGACCCACCAATTTCATATACTTGAAAAGGCCCCGCTGAACATCATCAGTGAGGAGAGCGGCACCACTGCTTTTACCAAGCGTGTATACTCTGAACTGAAGTCACTGCCATCGTCGTATCCCTGGCAGTGCAGGAATTAAGGTAAATTTAAAGAACTTTGTAACGGTACTATTAAGTTCTAGAACACTAAAGATATTTTGATGGCTTAATGATTTGAAATAGATTAAAGGACTGCTACGGGGAAATTAATAAACTTAAAAGCACTGAAAATGAAAATGATTACGAACACAAAGTAGGAATGGCAATCAAAATCTGTGTATATCTCATAAAAGAAAATCAAAGATCCACCATGGATTAAAGGATTGTTTAAACATGAAAAGACCTTTAATTCTAGAAACTCTAATATCTCTGCTTCCACTGCCTTACTAATCAAACTGTCACCCTAAGGTGAAATAGCTTGGCTCTAACTTTTCTGAGATCACAGTAGTCAGTAGCTGAGCTACTGATCATTCTCAGGAAAATAAGAAACATTTATTTTGCTAAGAATATTCTGCAAAGTCAGGATGGCCAAACAGTCTAATGTGCTGTGTGTAGCATACTCTGCTAAGATTGTTCTCACTTATATTTTACTATCAAAGTAATGACCTTGTTATTAGATATTAATTATTCATTGACTGGCCTTTGAATGGTGGGGTTTCTGGTAACTAAAGTCCATGCCAGAATCCATTTTTTGACAAGTCCAAAACTGCTTTGTGGGTCATTTTAAATTTCAACCTCTCTTTTGGTAAGAAGTATTAAAATAAATTTGCTTTTTCAAGTTTTTTTGTAAAATCAAACCTTAGTTTCCTATTCCTAGTAGGCAGATTGTACCCCACTCTCACCAAAGGTTTAGGCTTTCATTATCAAGTGTCCCTAAAGACATTCCGAGCACTTTGATACATCTGATGTGGATAATAGTATAGATAGGTCGACAGTAGCCTATCAAAAAATACCTTCTCTACTTTTAAATCTGGAACCTTGGCATCATAAGCTAGTCAATTTCTTGGCTCAGAAATAGCCACTTCCCACAACAATGTAGTTAGTGGCAATCATACAGGTCCTCTCTTTTAAAAAACTGTATTTAGAAACTAGGAAAATGGTCATTAAAAGGTTGTGCATGTGTTAACGATAGTTTATCTTGCTATTTCTAAGTTTTGCTGTTGTATGTGAGGCTTTTATGACCTGAGTCCTAATAATCATTGGTGATATTTGCCTCAACTACAGTGTTTAACTTAGAAAGGTATATAAATTAAAAACAAAGTTACCAAGCTGATTGAAATATTCTGTGACATGAAAATAAAAATCTTAAATTTTATCTTTTAATTATGAAATATATTAACTCTGCATGAAAATATGTGAAAAAACCATGACTGGATTTGGATAGATGTGTATCAACCTGGTTCACCATGGACTTTGTAGCAATCCAAAGATCAAAAAAACCAAGAGGAATGACCTTTCTTAGAGTCCAGTGCACAGCTGGTTTGGTTGGCCTATTTTACTAAAGTTCATATACTAATAACACGGGATAATCATGTGATTCTGGAAGCATGTTTACCATCACCATTAACCAAGAGTGTTCTATCTATTTTACATTTTCTATACCTTGACCCAAAACAAAAGAGCCCCCTAGAACACTGATGTAACTGTATCTTCTGTTTATATAAGCAATACATATCCATGCCCTCTGTGGAAACATTAAGATAAACAGTAAAATATAAAGGAAGGAAAAAAAAATTACCTATAACTCCTAATCAGACATAACCAATCCGAAAACACAGATATAATATAACCCATTTTTAAAATGTGCTAAGAAGACTTTGAGGACTATGGTGTAAGAGGAGTTTATATCATTCTTTAGTTTATAATGTGAAAGTCATCATGTGGAAGCAAAAGGAATACAACTAAAAATTAAATGTCCTTCCATGACATCTCAAGGTGAAAGTCACAATGACAAGTGTGTGCTCATGGAAATGTGACTAGGAAAGTATCATCACTGGACTGTCACAAAGGAATTGTCTCCAAATTACTGGTTTTCTCCACAAAACTACAACAGAGCTACTGTAGGGTAATAGATGGTGAGGCCTGCTGCGTCCCCTCAGTCCCGTAAAAGCAAGTGGGCGCCACCGTGCCAGGTCTGCCAGTCTGGTTTCTACTGCACAGCCTTTACCCGGAGGTCTGACAATCAGACCCTAGGGAGCGGCTGCTCTGGCTGAATGAAACCCCGCCACATGTGAGCAACATCCAGCCTTCTCAAAGCTTCATCATCTAATATTAAAGTTACCTTTCTTTGGGTAATTATTACTTTAAACTCAAAGACACTAGATTTTAAGATGCTATAACGCTCAAACACTTAATCTTACTAGTTTTGCTGCTATTTTCCAATTAGCAGTTTTATTAAAATTAGAAGACTTCAAAATTATATGTACTTGTCATTCAATTTAGTGTTAAAATGGGGAATATGTTGTTAAATTAGATGATGTAAAGCAGTGGTCCCCAACCTTTCTGGCACCAGGGACCGGTGCTCCTATGAGAGAGAATCTAACCCCTGATGATGTGAGGTGGAGCCGAGGTGGTGATGCTGGTGCTGGGGAGTGGCTGCAGATACAGATGAAGCTTTGCCAGGTCGCCTGCCTGCCACTCACCTCCTGCTGTTCCTAACAGGCCACAGACCAGTACCAGCCTGCAACCTAGGGTTTGGGGACCTCTGATGTAAGGTACCTATATAGTCTCTTTAACATTTTCCTAAGGCAGTTATTAGTTATCAGATGTAAACTCACGACCAAAAATGAGACAACAAAAGAAACAAATTTAAAATAAAATCCATGTTGAGAAACATGAAGAGAGATGGGTTCTATGGGCTGAAAGAGCTAAAGCCTATACTTAATATCATTCTGTGCATTCAGTAATCAACAAATTTCCCAAGACAGACAAATGATGCAATAAACTGCAGACCAGGGCCAAGGCGAGGCCACAGCCAAGCAGTTATAAATTTGAGAGGCCTCCTTACTTGTCTAGCAGCGAAGTTTTGGGGGTTGAGCCCTGTGCCGATTGCTCCAAGGCTGACGTTGGGTAGTGTGGAACCAGAGGGAGACAGCTTGTAGCTGGGAGAAGGGGAGAAGGGAGAGCAGGGAGCCTCATCCCCAAGGCACCCATCTTGATTGGAGAAAGGCAAAGTCAGCTGAAAAGTAGTAGTTAGCCAATCACAATGAGTGTTGGTTAGTGAAGCAACAGAATGCAAAAAGGGAAAAGAGAGAAAACACTAGGAATAAACAAAGTTAGAGTGTATTAGCAATAAACCAGGACAGAATTTGGATCTGATAATAATCATCATACTTCGCCCAACAGACACCATCTGTCATCCTCTTTGATATAGATTTTTCTTATCCTGTAAGTTAGTAACACATTCTGTCCATTGCACTAAGATAAAAATTGCCAGACACTTTATTTTCATACATCTAATATTGATTACTCTATGCGGCTGCTGAAACAGAACCCAGAGTAACCTTCTTGTGAATATGTTGCTGTCTGGACCATCATCAATAATAACAAAAATGTGCCAGATCTAAAAACTGTGATTTTAACTGCTTTCTGAAGACTATGAACACTGCAAGTTGGTATTCCGAATCAAAAAATAATCTCCTCCATTAGAAACATTAAAAATAAAAAAAATGGGTATAAATGACTTGTTTGAATCAGATAGTTGAAAATTTGAAAAGTATACCATTATAACTAAATAGATCACTAGAGAAATGGAGAAAGATCAACAAAGAGCTCTCTTAGAAACAGCAAAGCAGAAAGTTTTGGGTCACCTCAACAAAGCTGGAAGGCAAGGCCTTAAGAGACACAGAGTATTTGCACAAGATCCTGAAATTTAATTTGTAACTGCACAAAAAGTAGCAGAAAAAAAATTAAGAATTAATTTGTCTCTAAAATTTCTTCTACATGTTTTGAGTGTGCATTTCCCCCACTACAGAGTCAGACCATTTTCCTCCTCCAAACTTCATTAATTTTCTAAAACTTAGACATTCTTCACACTACTCACATCCTAAAGACAGATGGTTCTAGCTCCTGCCTAATCACCTGTTGACATCAACTGTTGTCATGTCACCATTTAAATCAGGTGATGTTTGTGTTTTGCTCATTAATTTAGTTTCATAATTCTGTTTCCTCCTGGAATCAATTATCAAAAGACAAACAGAAACCAAAGTGGTTCTCATGAATTATTATCTTAAACAAAAGATTTAACTCACCTTCTCAAAATAAGGCCCACTATCTGTGGTTCCCATGTCTTTGGAATTAGGTGGACGGAACCCAGATCGATCCTTCCTCATGATATCATTAAAATCCCCGAGATTCATTGCTCGCTTGTCCACATCAAATTTTTTATCTGTAAGGCTCCCTGAAAGGTACCACAGAAAGAGTAAAAATTTCAAGAATCAATGTCTCTCTTATGGCCAAGAGTGACCTGCCCCACGCTCCTCCTTGGGGTGCTGGGTACAAGACCAGAAGAGCTCTCAATGGTTCAGGTGGCGGGTGACCTCCCTGGAACACATGTGGGTCCTTAAAACAAAACAAAACAAAACAAAACAAAACAAAACAAAACCAAACCCCAACACCAACATGTATCAGTTGTAGGTTTTCTTCTGTGGGAAACTGAAAGACAGCCTTAGGGCTGACCTGGTAAAAATCTGACTAAAAAAAATTGAGACTCGTTATTGATATGTTTGATGAATGCCCACAAATGCAAATGTCCTCGGTGAGAGATTCTGTCTCTTGCTGCTATTTCAGCATCTGTTAGAAATAAATGGTTGGGGCTGTGAAACAGTTATTAGGAATGAAAAGCTCAAAGAGGCATAATTGTTGCCCTAAAATTTCAGAACTTGAACACTGGAGATGGTGTGCCACGGGATTTCCCAGGTGCAACGGTTATTTCCGCTTTTCTCTCCCAGCTCTGTAAATTTGCTAATGTATATTCACATGAGCAGTGCCCAGGAAGCTTATTTTTTAGTTATTCTCAGATTTAAAAATGTCATAGATCAAACACTACTTCCTTGTTACCCAGCATTGTTTTATTTTCTTCTTGGTTTAAGTTCCTCATGGTGAGCAATGGCCTCCTTTTGAAGATCCTACAGACGAAGGGCTGACCCTGCGTCTGCTCCACTTGCAGTGGGAGAGTCTGTCAATAATGAAACATCCCAGGGCAGACAGGACCAGCAACCTGAGAGCTGAGTCTGGCAGGGCCACAGACATATTTTGTTTGGCCACACATAGCATTTTTAACAACCTGAATTAGCTTCCAATATTTAAAAATTGGGATATCAATATACATCTGAATTTCTTCTGGCCTCTCTTCAAAAACTGGAAGATCTGGCAAAGCTGAGCCTACACTCCTCCACGGGAACAACTGCTAAGAGCTGAGCCAGGCTGATTCCTTTAGGTGGCACATATGCTCTCCGCAGCCAACCAGTGGCCCCCAAGTCCCAATTCCTTATACCTGGCACACATCACTCATTTACATTACTTTCTTGGCTCTTGCAGTCATTTGAGTTCTGGCTCGGTACCTTCCACAGTGTTGAATACCTGTCTACTGAACTGCACCCGTCCCAACTCAAACTGAGCAGGGGACCCCAACAGGATGCCGTGACCAAGAATATATTTCGTTCGTATTAGTGGAGTGATACACACCTACAGACAAATCCATTTTGCTGCTTGGATTATCTTCGGTTTGACTCTGAAAAGTAAAGAACAGTGAGGGAAAATTAAAGGTTTGAATTAAATGTGTGAATCAGAGAATGGCTTTATTCATGTAAGAGTTACATTTTACCACAGACACTATACAAGGTCCTTTGAAAGGAAATTTACACTGAAATGAAGATGGTAACATTTTTAATACAACTCATTTGATTGCTGCTGGTGCCTATATTCCTAAATTTAACTTTCATATAGAATTAGCTTCAGTAAATTTACGGGTAGAGCAATAGCTAAACAGCTGCTTGTAGAAATAAACCCCTGTCCTCAAGTTCCAGTCAGCTTGGGATCAAATTTCATGAGTGGCAGCCAAATGATGACAACTTCTTCTCGTGACGTGTCAAGTCATCAAATTCTGAAATGTGCAGCCAAGTTAAAGTCATTTGTCTTTTGGCAACCAGGGACAGGCTGTCCCCATACGGTTCCAAGAGCTAAAAAAAATTAGAAATTCTACAAGAATTCCCTATATAATTAATCACAAATAGTTTCTCTAGTTATTTTGCTGTTTTGTCTTTTTTAAAAAATGATAATATTAAAATTGGAACAGGAGTCAGAGAAAATTATATAAATTTTAAGAGCCTGTCTCTTTCTTTCCTAACTTCCCGAAGAAAAGGCTACAAGGACTACAAATTTAAAAAAAAAAAACGTAACCTTTAAATATTGGAGTACTTTGTTATGAACAGAACACAGAGAAAAAAATATTGTTTAATCCAAATCAGAAATATTGCTTAACTAGCTTCTAAATCTGTAATTTTGTACTATATGTGGCAGTGGTCTTAAAATTTGTAGAAAACATAAAAGCTGGGATACATTACACATATGAAAAAGTAAAACTTACCAGCAATCCCATATTTGAAAACTGTTTGGCAAGAGGATTCATCCATGAATCATTGTTTCCTCCTTTTAGTGAGCACTACAGAAATGAAACGCATAACCTCAGAACCAAATCATTTTATTTTGTCTTCATATCTGAGTTACATAAGTACTGACTGAAAATGTAGAGCCAAGACTTTATCTTTTTGAAACCTAATTATCTCGCTTTAATTAGGATTATTTTGATATTTTATCTGTTAGTCTAAAGGAGTAATAAGCCCTAGCTATAGCTATGTTTTCATTCTTATTTTGTCACACTAAATTAGAAGTAACTGGAAAAACATATAGTCAGCTGGTGTTTTTACCTTATAAATAGGTCAATATCAGATCTTGGATCTTCTAAATTATAATGTTTGCATGACAGTACTTTCTCTTTTAGTATCTACTTGTAACCCAAGCTGGTTGGTATCAGGAGGGGAAAAAAAAAAGAGTTTGATGCTAGTGCATGTTATCTGGAAAGAAGCCTATTCGAACTGGTTATTACTCTCCATGTGGATAGGATGAGGAACTCATCCACGTAGCACTCATCCGTCCGCTTTACAGTATAGAGGACATGGGTCCCCAGTGGGAAAGAAGCCTAGCAGAAGACACCATCACTGACCTTACTGCAAATTAAGGCAGATGTGGGTTTCTGTTTGTTTCTTAATGGGATGAACTAGTTTCTCCCCTGAACCAGATACCGATTATCAGCTCCACACTTACTTCTACAGAGAAAGCAGGTAGAACCATGATGGGGACCTGGTCAGGGCAGGGGGTGATGGGGCTTCGTGCACTGTGCATTCTGTGGTTAAAAAATCCTGTTGTGTTCTGATGATATCTGTCATATCGATTTTATTATTATTATTTTTATTTTAGGCGAGGCGACCCTTGGTTGACCTCACAGATTGCAAGGACCTTGTCAGCTTACAATCCCTTATTTTTTTTTTATTTTTTACACCTACAGCACCTGGTCTTCCTAGGTGGTCTCCCATCCAAGTACTAACCAGGCCCGACCCTGCTTAGCTTCCGAGATCAGACGGGATCGGGCTTGTTCAGGGTGGCATGGCCGTAGACTCAATTTTATTATCCTCGAAAGTAATAGGTACACTGAAGTTCAGTTATATGTTTCAAGGTCAAATAAAGCCTCAGTGGAAGGAGGACAGAATTGATAGGCACTGTTTAATGGGTACAGAGTTTCAGTTTTTCAAGATAGAGTTTTGTGGACAGATGGTGATGGCAGCACAACAATGTAATGTACTTAATGTCACTGAATGTACACTTAAAAGTGGTTAAGACAGTAAATTTTATGTTAACTGTTTCTGATCGCAAAAAAAAAAAAAATCCTCAATATGAAAGGTCACAATCATCAGTCATGGAGCATTAACATGCAACTCTCAATTACGTAAGTAAATCTTGGCGGCTATCTGAGTGGGCTAGTGCCTTTCACTCGGTCACTTCCTTTTCAATCAGCTGTCTTTTAATTTGGTCTTATTGTTAATTTGTAAACAATGACAGCAAAAAAATGCCACGGCATATTAGACAACATGAGCACATAAAAAATGATGAATAACTCCTTTTGTGACCGGAATTAAGAATATGAAAGTCCTTAGGGAAAACTGTAAATGATTGCGTAAACAAAATGTCTAATAGAAACAACCTGTATTCTTATGCTATAAAAGAGAGTTACTATATCCTGAACAAAATTAATATCCTATAGGCAGAGGGGATGAAGGCGCAGCCCTTAGCCAACTGAAGAGACCTTCTAAGATGACATCTGGAGACCTGGGAGAATATCAGCTGTGAAGCATTTCACAGGGCAACAAGGCTCCCATGCTGAAATTAAGAATATGGCAGCCCATTTCTTATTTCCATCCATTTGTGGAATAAAAGACTAGGATGAAAAAAGAGTGCTTCTGCTGAGAGAGTGGTTCAGGTTCAAAGACTGTTGTTCTAGACAGAACACCAAAGTCTTCATCAAACTATGCAAATCCAACGAGAAACCGAGCTGTTCTGCGATATGGGAAGTGAAACATTTAAAGCTCAGTCTGGTATGGGATGTACATAAGTCACCTTGTTGCTGCAGCAGAGTTACACATTGGCACTTCCTTTTGTTAGGAGAAGGGTTCTGGGCATTGGAATTTCCCGAATCAGACAGAAACCAGCCATGCGGATCACCACGGGAAAAGCCATCTTACTTGGGTTTCTCTTCTACATATTCATGGGGATTTACTCTAAGGACTTCCTTGGCTTTAGAACGCAAAAGCATAAAACATTTATAAAGTATGCTTTGAAAGCTTCCAAAGAATAATTATAATATGGAAACTAAAAGTAAAATAATCTATCTTTGAAAATTCCATTTTATCCACAGCAACAGTTCTGTAGTTTGTGGTTTCAAAGTCATGGTGAAGGAAAATGAGAAGTAAAGAGGAAGCAGTTATTTGTTCCCAAGAAAATATTTTTCTCTCTTACTTAGGACCTCAGGGACTCCAGCTGCTCTACTCCTTCCATTATAAAAATTCTCAGTTCTGTCTTCTAAGAATGAAAAAGCAAGCTCAAACATTTCTAAAGCGGAATACCTTCATTTGTTTCTTTCCTCCTTGTCCCCAGCTTGCTGAGTTGTGGGAGGAAGCACTTCCCTGAGAGCCGGCGGTGTTCCAGACTCCTCCATCATCCTCCTCTTCCCAGCTGGGATGGCGAGTTCCTGTCACTGGCCCGTCACTCTCCCCCCAGCCATCTTGCATAGATTTGGAATCTTTTTAAGAAAAGAATGAATCAACTGTATGCAATAGTTTTATATAACAATAACCACAATAATCATTCTTTGTAAATACCACATTTTAGTATACTGTAATTTTATCTAATCCATCTAATATGGCAAGGCAAGTATTATTCATACTTTAGAAAGCAGGAAATAGAAACCCATTAAAGGTTCAATGAATACAGAGTAAGTTAACAAACCACAAAATCAAGACCTCCTGACTTCTGGCTCAATAATTTTTCTCTCATACAAAGTTGATGGAAATTCCACAATTGAACCCATATCACGACTCATAAGAAATTTTACATCTCAATTAAGAGAAATCTGTTTCTCTTAATGAGTATGTTTTACTGTAGTCCTTAGTTTACCTTCCTAAACTACGTTGTGTACTTTATTATATAATGGACAGTTCAAAAATCAGGTTTGATAAAGAATACCTATCTACCTCATTTGGGGTGAAGTTGAGAAAACATGAAAAAAGGAAGAAAAAAGAAAATTTTATTAGATTTTGAACATCAATATTATGGTGAAAGAAAAAAATTCACAGACAGCCATAAAAATTTGAATCTTATTAGATTTATATGTCTGACATGTGTGCCATACTAGAAAGATCCTAGGCAAAAGCAATGTAAAAGCAATAGTTTTTAAAAGACAGGAGGGGGAAACTGAAGGATAGAGCATGGGAAAAGGAGGAAGGAAAACAGAGAAATCAGAGGTGAGGGCTCTAATGTTTGAGGAAGTAGGATGTCAGTACCCATCGTCTATTTCACCAATATCCCTTTCTAAACAGAGATCTTTAATTTGGAGATTGGGATAAATCCTTAATTTCATTCTAAAAATACTGTATGGAATTGAAAGATATGTGTTGTGGTAATAACACTATAAAATGATGGAAGAACACAAGAACATCTTCTTGCCTAGCAATCTCCAACTATACCTTCGCATCACCAATGACGGAACATTATGGAAGGGGTAGTTATTTGATTTAGACGGCTTCATCTGAAGAGTCTAGAGCCAAAAAAGTGCTTCTTCCCTGAATGACTGACTGCTGCCATCCCCTAGGAGCAGGCCAGTGACAGCCAAGAAGGCAAGCAACAAGTATACAGGGCACGAGTCGGTTGGTTTCTTCTAACTGTGGCATCATCCCTTCGCATGGCCCAAATGAACCTGAAGGGCCCTCCAAAGGGTTCATTTCAGCCTTACAGGAAGGGCTTTCACCTGGGCAGCAAGAGGCGGGGCTTGGGGGCTATTCTCCCTGCTGTTCGAAATGTCATTGATAACAACCAGAATTGTTTCTTCTGCATTTGAGATTATTCACTGTTACATAAGCATGGGCTTTATACCATCCTCTGATAAGCAACAGGAATGAAAAACCCAGCATAAATAATAACATAGTGACCCATTTATAAAAACAAAGACATCCACGTAATCCTTCTTTTAGAGAAAAGAGCTAAATTTCTAACAAACATCTTCTGATAGAAAAGATAAAAACAGAACTCTAATTTTTAGTCATGGAGCCCATACCAGAGTTAAGATATTGCAGTCTAGAGAAGACCACAGGTTAACTACCAGCATCAACTGGTAAGCAGCGATGACCTAGCCCCACATTCAAATTACCCAGAGGAAGGGTAACTATAGCTGTTGCTGTAACTATAGAGGATCCTGCAGAGTAGAAAATATTTTTTAAAATATTTTTTGTGGTGGAAGAAAGGTGATTTTGAACTTGGGGAAGACATGTAAAAACCAGGAAAGTGCTGCTGAAGCTCCTCCTTGCTCCAGGGTCTGGTTCATGTCTTCCAAGCAGGATTTTGGATCTATTTTAAGTCTACAGGATGGTATTTCCCATGACAATTCAACCAATTTTACAATGAAAATCAAAGTCTTTATAAAGCTATTTCTATGAAGTAGAGGAGAGTCGTAATTTTTAAAATGCAGTCACATTATTATGACTGAATTTCTAGAGTGAATTTCTAGAATGTAGCGAGGATCATATTCTTTCATGTGGCACTATAAGGGCCCTAAATATCATACAATGAACTTGACAATGGAATTTTTTATTCTTGTTCAAATTTTGAGCATTCAGTATGATCATTTTTTAAAAATCAAAAGACAGTTCCTTAAGTCTGCAATGTGGTAGAAAAGAGATGTTGAAATGCTTTTTAGGAAAACTACCAACAAGTGAAAATGGGCACTAGTAACTGTATTTTTCAATTGAGGAACATCCACTGAGACATTCCAAAGCATGAGTTTATAAAGTTTTGCAAATTACTGTGACTACACATTGCCAGCTGGATCAAGTATAGCTTATATTTTCAACGATTAAAAACAAGTATGATGTGCTTTGTTTAAAAACTCAAATGAAGAAATCTTTGTCAGATTCAAGAAACCTTAAATGTTCCTTTGTGGGTGGATGGACGAGAAGAGAGACAAAGGGAAAAGGAAGGAACCGAAGGATGAAGTCACACTGGGCAACAGAGACCATGTTCCATATTGAAAGCCAGGAAACTCTTAAATTATACTAACAAAAGAGTAGAAATGCAAAATAGATTTGGTGAATAATATTTCAGTTACCGGCACCACATCAAAATTTACATTCTGGCCAGATACTAAACCTAACTTAAAATAAAATCAACGAAATTAACTTAGGACTTTTAGTTCACTGTAAACATTTTAACATACACCACTCCAAGTCACCACCATTTGCTACTAACCATTTATTAAAGGTGCAAGGTCCTGAATCTCATCGAAACAATGGTTTAAAGACTACACAGTCCTGCCCCAAACGTCTGACTACCAAATGAATGGCGAATCCCTCGAAAATAACGCTGTACGCTTACTGGGTTTCATGGCATTTGCAGCGCTGGAAGGTGCGCTCCCCCAGCCTGTGGTCGAGGCTCCTGTGTCATCCATTTCACTCCACCCAGGACTGCTTTCGTTTGGCTCACCCCAAGCTGAAGTGCCATTATCTGGAGCAGGTGGTGTGCTTTTGCTCCAGACTGTAAAGAAAGGAAATGTGTCTCTAAGAACGACTTGTTAAATGAAATGCCATACTATCCAGTGGAGTGAAGTGAAGGTGGGAGCAACAGGCGGCCCGGTATTCTGTTAGAGAAATATAAGTGGGTTCCACCTTCATGGAGGGCACTGGGCATTATCATTTTTGGCCCAGTAATTCCACCGCCAGGAGATTATACCACATGTAAACTTATAAAAGTAGATGAAATCACATGTACGGCAATGCCCACTGAATCGCTGTCAGAAACCATTTGGAAGCAACTAAGTATCTATCAAAAAGAGACTGGTTAGAGTGGGTCACCCCCAAAAAGAATACCATACACAAAGCAATTAAAAGACAAAAAGGTATGTGGTAATATGGAAAGTTTTTAAGTATAAGGGAAAAAAGCAAGGTGAAGAACAGTGTATGCACTACGATCCCTTCTGTGTAAAAATTTTAAAGGGTAGATATATTTTTCTATAACAGAATTTTTGAATTTTGAAAATCTTAAGAGATTACCTGTGGGGAAAGAGACCCTAGAGGGTAAGATTATTTTATGTATTACCCTTTTGCTTTTCTGCATAGTTTGAAGATTTTTACCATACAGTCAGCCCTCAGTATCCAAGAGGGGACTGGTTCCAGGGCCGAAACCCACGGATGCTCTATCTAGTCCCTTTGTAGAATGCTGCAGTATTAGCATATAACCTATGTACATCTTATAATACCTAACACGATGTAAATACTTAGCAAATAGCTGTTGTACTGTATTGTTTTGGGAATAATGACAAGAAAAAAGTCTGTACAAGTTCAGAACAGAAGCAACCATCGTAAATCTAACTACATAGCATACGTCAGCAACAACGTAATTCTGGATTTTTGTTTTTTCCATACATTTTTGATCCGTGGTTGAATCTGTGGATACGGAACCTGCAGATCCAGAGGGCTGACTATATGAATACAGTTTTTTTCACCTGGTAGCAGGTTTTATTCTAGATAAGGAATTAACGAACAATCTTCACTTCCTTCCTTATTCTTCTCAATATTTTTTGGGAAAATAAAAACTAGTTAAAAGTTATCATTTTTGAGTGGCCATAACTGGATTTACCGAATACTAGGTTTACTTTTGGGAGAAGACGCCTGAATATTATGATTAATTTTAACGACAAAAACAAAACGAAACAAAACCTTGAACAGTGCATCCCCTTAGTTTGCTGAACTACACGCTTTATGGGGCATTCAAGCCCACAACGCCAAACTGAGAGCAATACCACCAGCACTACTTTTAATTTACCAAGTATGATGTTCCCTATTTGAATAAGGAGGGAAGAAAAATTTAATACTGGACAACTGATTATCATAAGATAACAATCTCTTATACAAAGTACTCCACTTTCAAAGGTGATCATTGCATGTTTCTGGGAAGTGACCGAAATCTTCCAGATTCCAGCTTTGCTACAGCATTCTGATGGCCTCTGCAAGAACACCACAGAATACTTCCCTTCGCTGGGGAAAGAGAAGCACAGAGGATGTGTCCACGGGTAGAACCAAAATGGAAATCAGTTTTATTTCTGCTACGATTTTAATTCTTTGTTTTTAAATCTGGATCATAGTTTGTTTAGCAAGATATAAGTCTTTTGGATTCTGCAGACCAATACAATTACAAAAAAATAATTTTGAGAGACTAACACAGGGATGCCATCTTTTCCTTTTGCCAAGAAAGAACATTAAAATGTGCTACCAGCATCTGTTATCACTATCATTTTATAAAGAGAGAGCTTCTGCTAATGTAGGAAAGGGTCCCAGAACAAAGCTCAGTTGAATAAATGCAGCTTTTAAAAAAATGCCTTGGTTAAGGATTTTTCTTTCATCAAAACCTTCGAGAAAAGCCACTGCTTACCTGATGCTGATTTACTGGTCATCGGGGTAGGCAGGTTTGGTTCTCGAGGTGCTGGGCCCCCTTGGGAATTCTTATCCCACAAGTTCACATTCTTGTAATTATAACTGTTAGGGTCTCCCCAAGCTGAAGTGCCATCATCGATGTCCATCTTCCGACTAATCGACTGTGGGGATGGCTCTTCCCAACCACTAGGTTCCTCATCCTTAGGAGTTACTGGCTGCGGCCCGCTGCTCCAGCTGGAGTTGGAAGGTCGTCCATTGCCTGGAGGTGGTGGGGGTGGGCCTCCCCATGAACCAGAAGCCTCTGGTTGTGGTGGTGGTGGCTGCTGCGGCTGCTGCTGCTGTTGGTGCTGTTTATTCCAGGAACTGGGCTGTCTGCCTGTCTCAGTCCATGCTGGAGATCTTTTGCAATCTTCCCACCCGCCTTTGGAAGCTAGGCTTGCATTCCCACCGTTCCCCCAAGTTCCGATTTCATTCTGCCCTCCTTCACCCCACCCGGACACAGGTTTGCTTGCAGAACTTTCCCAATTGCTATTTTTTGCTTGATCAACTTCCTCTCCCCAACTATTCTTTCCAGAAGTCCATCCTTGATTGGGCTGGCGTCCACCTCCCCACCCCTGATCCTTGCTGGAATTCTCATTCCAAGAGGAAGATGTCTTTTCATCTGGTCGTCCTCCTCCCCAATTAGAAGAGTTGTTCTTATAGTCATTCCAGCCTCCTGTGTTCTTGGGGTCTTTCCACTCTGTAGAGGCTGAGAGCTCCCCCCATCCAGACTTCATTTGATTGCTTTGGCTGGGTGCGTCTCCCCAGCCCCCTGAGTTCTTGGTCTGTGTGGCAGCGCTCTCCCACCCCTCAGTTCCTTTGTCAGATTTCCCCTCGGGCCTTGGCACCTCTTCAATATCCCACACTGTGTCCTGCTTGATTTGCGTTTGGCCCCAGCCAGTGTTTGAGAGCACCCTGGGGTCCAAATCAGTTCGGCTCAAAAGAGTCTGCAAGACAGCCTGACAATCAGGATGTGTGGGTCTGTACGACCGACGGCCAGAATTATGACTGTCACTACTTCCTGCTTTGTGGTTGCTTCCAGTGCTTTGACCTCCAACTTCACTTCCTGTGGAGCTGGAAGATCTTCCCCAACAGGGAGCCTGGGCATTGCCTTGGTTTTCAGGGAGGGGGTGGCCCTTTTGATTGTCCCATGCTCCAGTGCTAGAATTTGGTTGGTTTGGACCACTCCATTCTCCAATTTTCAACTCGTCAGACCCAGTCGGCTGTTTCCATTCTCCCTGAGAGACCCCAGATGTCATTTTGTTCCCTTCACCCCATTTGTTGTCATTAGAGTCCTGAGGGCCAAAGTTCCAGGACCCACCCGTAGACCTGTTATTGTTGTCCCAAGAGTCATTTTTTGACCCGGTTGATTTCTGAACGGAAGCTCCTTTCCAGGAGTCCTCTCTATCCTTTCCATTGTTCCCATTGTTTCCAGAATTGCTTTGTCCAGAGGCTGTGTCAGTTCCAGAAGGCCCCCTAGCTGCACCCCAAGATCCAACACTCCCAGTCTTTCGATCTCCAGTGCTTTGTGAAGGGGCATCGGTGCTCCTGGAGGCGTTCCCCAAGCCCATTCCGAAGGGCATTCCCTTATTCTCCATGGGGTTTGGTGAACTTAAGTTCAAGGAGTTAGTGTTTCCATTTTTTGGTCCATCAGTGTTATGAATTTGAGCCTGTTCTCTGCCAGAGACAACAAAATTAACACCCGCATTTTCCATCTTTGACTGCTGTTCCCTGGATGCCTGACCGACTGTGCTAACCTGTGCACTGGAATTACTCGTATCTGTTTCCAATGCTCCTTTCCTAGAATTTCCTTCTTGGACCAGCGCTGGCCAGGCAGATGGGTTGCTATTTGGGTTGAAGTTGCTGAAGCCAGAGCCAGGTCCAATTCTATCCTGACCACTCACATTCCTCCAATTTCCTAGTCCATTGTTGCTCTCTGGAGTAGAGTTGGAAGATTGAACAGATTTAGCCTTAGGGTCAGATTTCCAGACCCCAAGATTACATTCGTTCCCAGAACTTGCAGACTGGCACTGGCCCCCTTTTCCTTTGTTACTAGTGGTGCTTCCTGGCAGAGTGCTCTTTTCAGAGCCAGGGTTCGAGGCACTGTTGTTATCGGTGGTGTTTTCAGAAGAAGACTCAGTGTCTTTGCTGGCAATACAAGGCCACTCTTCCATGTTAGACTCGTCTACAATCACCTTGTCCCAGATGTGAGCTGGGTTGGGAGAGGCGCCGTTGTTGGAGGAGGCTCCCGGGCCCCAAGTGGAATTTGCATAATTCGAAGCAGCAGCACCTCCAAGGGTTGACTCTGCGAAAGAGATTGTTTCATCAATCACAGCAGCTACTCACGCATTATCTACTAACATTTCAAGTTCAAACTTCCCCTAAGAGAGCTCAGCACATTTCCACACAAACTGGCTTCTCCATCCAGCTGCCTGTCTTCGTAAACTGTATTACACCTGTCTTAGTTGTCTCTTCTCTTTTGTCTTGCCTGGTTGGTGTATTAGCTAAGTCTAACTCCATAACATCTCTCAAAGCTATCCCCCTGCCATTCTTATTGACAGAGAAGGGCCTTCTTGTATCTTGAGACAATGCAACAACGCCCTGCACTTGCTCTGTAACTCCAGTCTACTCTAAACACTCCCAGCTGGAGCAATTTCTCTTCAGGACACCTTCGATTATATCACCACTGCATGGAAAGCCTTCGACGGTTCCTTAGTGCACAAAAATAAAGCTAAACTCTTTGGGCTGGAGTCTGATCAAGATGATCCACGACCTGGGGCCAAGCGACTTTTCTAATTTCATCTTCCACTGTTTCCTGTGTAGATGTCTATATTTCACACTACTTGACATTCCACAACTTGTGCCTTCTCACATGGCACCATTCCACATCGACACTGTTTTTTCCTCGCTGAACTTTGCCCCTTTTACTAGGTCTAGTTCTAGTGCCATTTTTTTCTGAAACTTTTATTGAGCTATCGTCCCCAAATAATCCAGAGCCATTCTGCTCAGTGCTCGAGTACTGTGTTCGTGTCTTCCCTTCCCTGTTAGCGCCTTTTAGGCAGAGACCCTATCTTGCTAACGTTTCAATTCCACACAGTAGCCAGTGCATTGCTGCTCAGTAAGCATCTGCTGAAAGATGAATGCCCACCCAGCTACACGCCAGGGGCAGACAAGCATGAATCAGATTGTATGACCAAGGAACTTAATCTGATGAATTAGTCTGGCTCAGCACATATATTTTGGTGGAATTCACCACAATTGGTAAGAAAAAAATGACATATTTTTAACCTGATAATTTCTTCTAAATTTACTTTAGCTCGTTTAACCAAGCAGCTTTAAGTCAATATGAAGTTGAAAAAAATATTAGAGCCATGTTAAAAAAAAAAAAAAAAAACAGAATCTCAAATTCTTGGATTCAGGGCCTCCTTGGTTTTAAGAATGTAAACAGGAGACTCTGACACGCACTGAGTTCATGTCTGCATCCAGGCCTGGAGAGAATCGATGCAGAAATGCTCGACTCAACCACTCCTCACATATTTCACTTTGCATCTGGTTACAAGGGGCCAGGAAGCAGGGCCACAGAGGGAAGCCTCATGCATGGGGCTTATCTCTGCATGAAACCTGTCATACTAGGTCTCTTTTGACCCCTACTCTGCACACCAGAGAGTGACAGAATTTTCTAGGCAATTCTGTGTTCAAACTTAGGACTAGAATAAAGAGCCCTGTCATTAACGATCACCAAAATTCACTGTCATTGCCAACGCTGGATGGTGTTCAAGCTCTAAAATTTAATATAGCCTCAAAAAAAATATTTTAAGAAATAAGGTAAAATCTCTCAATGAACTAGAAAGTATTTGGACGTTCTTCGCTGTTAACTGATTTAGTAATTACCTATTGAAAAAAGTCTCAAAACTTCTAGTAGAACCTTTTAACGAAAGATCTTTGTATCTATTTATAGTTTTTCAATAACGCTTAAAATCCAGGCCCCCCCACCTAAGTGATTTAAAGAATCTAATAAAAGACTATAGAATGGTATCCTATATAGCAATCTAAAAGACCATCCTCTCTACATGCCTAGTGTTCCGGGAGCACAAACACAAGTATTTGAGATTTGTAACATGCCCCGGCACTAGCCCCACTTCCAATCATACTCAGAGCACACACTGTGGTGACAGCTGAACCATGGAGGCTTGAATCTCTAATGCTCTTGTCTGAGAAGGAAAAAAAGGCTCCAAAGAGGGATGGCAAAGAGCAGCTACATCAGCCTCTCATGCCCAGAGCACACTCTCAATGGAAACTAAAACCGAGTTTCAGAAGAGAAATGCTGATACACATTCCATACTGGGATCTTCAGCCATCTTTCGAATAACACCAACAGCCTATATAATTAATGGTTTTTGTGGACTTTACACCAGGCAATACAAAAGACGTGTTCCCGCTCTCTGAAGCTGCCATGAAGTCAAGTCCCTGACGCCAATTCCTCACCTGGTGCAGTCCCACTCTCACTCTGCAGCAGTGTTCCTGTCACTTGTGCGTTGTTTGGGTTTGCTCCGGGTGCTGTGGAGGGAGGAGGCCCTGCCCCACCTCCGAGGAGCATGCAGGACGGTGGAGGGGGCTGCCCACGTTTCAGTAACACTTTGTGGTCCTGCTGGCAACGGAATCGCGGCGGCACCTCCCGAGGCATGTAGCGGGCGGCGCTTGGCGGTTGTCCGTTCGGCACTGCCACCCTTTTGGCATTGTTGCCACCATTGACTGGTGGCGATGGAGAGCTGCCAATTGGGCTGGCGGCCGTTGGTTGGCTTAAACTTGGTTTCGTCACTTCGGGCACTGAAAGAGATTGGAAAACCACCTGTGAAATCGAATACATTTTTCTAAAGATTATTTTTAAGAAAGCTTACATGGGACCAATTGCAATAAGGCAACCCTTCTTTCATCCCATTCTTGATGGACATGATCTTTCCAAATTGCCCAGCATCTTCAGTTTACTGAAGGTAGGGTGGAGGTGGAAAGTGATGGTGACAAGGATTCAAAGATGGTAATTACATTCCATCGACTAAGGGGGAGAGGGAAGCAATCCCTCCCTATTCACTCCCTAAATCAATAGGGGAATTCCCTGAAGGGCTGCCTAGCAGGTCTAGGGGTACATATGGTCCTCAGGCAAAGTCCTTAGTAAAGGTTCAAAGCTCTCTCCCCTCACCCATTCTTAAAGACCGACCTCTGACAAACTTTTCCTGAAGGCCCTGGACCAGGGAGACTAAGCACCCATCGTTTATGCTCCTGGAACACACTGCCCATTTTTCTTTACCACTAAATTTACCCTATTATATTGAAATTTTCCTTTTACAGGTCCCTCTCCCTTACTAAGCCACAAGTCCCACAAAGGCTGAGGCACATCTTTCATCCTTTTTTCTTAAGGCCTGGCACAGAGTAGACCCTTATAGGGAACCTTATTCTAGAAAATCACAAAATCAACTTGTTGGTTTCGATAGCCACTTGAACTCAAAGACTCTTGCTTGGCACTGTGTGTAAATATTAGAAACATTATAAATCTTTTTGCTTTTGTCCAAAAAAGCTTTAAGTGTACCTTGTGTTTTTCCCCCAAACTCTTTATTTAAAATAAAAATTTCAAAATGTAGATACTTCCTAAATGTAGATATTTCCTATTGACTTTAAATAATTTAATGTTTTTGCTTATTTTTACAATGGCAAACAGGAAGTGTGGGGACATGCATGACAACCGGCAAGGACCCCCTAGCTCAACCCTACAGAGACTGTTCTCTGGACCTGCACCTCCCATGCCTCATCTTACCAAAAGCCTGCCGCCCTTTCCGAGAAAATTTACCTGGCAAACAGAGGCTGGCAGTACTACAGAAACAATCATTGAGCCTGATAATTCGGATGATTCTGAGGCCAAAATCCCTGACATCCAGAGTACGTTAGGGCCAGCTCTGGTGGCAATACCGCTCTGACTGCTGAAATGATGCTGGGCCAGCATGTTGCTCATGGTAGGGTGGAGGTGGAAAGTGATGGCTCCTTTATGATAAGAGAGATACATCATCAGAAATCAGGGGGCCCAATCTATACCCACTGGACCAATACTAATTGGCGAGTATTCTGAGTAACAGGAAAAAAGAAGAGGTGCCTGGAGTAACTTCAAGGCAACCTTGGATCTAACCTTAGCCCACCAGGAGGCAGTACTGGGCCTCCTGGTACACAGCGGAGGTCTGGGGATCCATAATCTGACAAGCAGAATAAATACATGACTTACGAAAATAAACTGGTCATCGTCTAATATTTTTAATACAGTAACCTCTGCATGACTTATAATAGCCAAATGATAAATGGATGAATAAAGATGACTTACTTAATGAATAATTTTCTATCTCTGCCTGCAGGATTCGATAGCACATAGCATTCCTCATCCCCTTCCCTCTGATCATGAGAATAAACATGAAACTGGCAAAGGCTGAGGGGACTCTTCCCAACTGGTTTTTAGGATGAAAACAGCTATATTCCTGAGAGGCTGCTCTTCTATAAAAGGGCTAGAGTCTTCACTTAAAGTTAACCAGGTCTATTACATGCCTTGACTCATTTCCCTAAAATAGAATACGATGTAGTAAGAGCAGCCCACTGGACTGAGGTCTGAACACCAGTCTGACTAACTACAACACTGACAGCACAACCGAAGAAATCTGGTAGGTATTAGATATTGTGCAAGATGCCCTGCACAAGCTTCTCAGGGCATTCTCCCAACATCGCATCAGAGGCAGAACAGATCATAAATAATAAAGCTATAAAATGGGACCACGTCTTGACCACGTTCCTTCCAAGATGGCGCTCCATCGGGAGATGAGTCGTTCAAAACTCCAGGGCACAATCAGAAAAGGCCTGCGGTGCATGTTAGCAGCAAACTGTGCTTCAGGAACGAATGAGTTCTTATTCTATTTTTTTGTATTATACCATTCTGTGAATTCAAGAATTTTAAGCATTTAAAGGTCAGTGAGATCCCTAGACACTGACTGGAGGGCAATGCAGCTATTAGGCAGGAGGCCCAATCCAACCTGCTTCCCAGAGGCCAATCTTAGGACGTGAGGGTCCGCATGTATACCGCGTCGTGCTTCAGAGCACTGACGATAACACAAGAGGGGGAAACTCTGATTCAGTCTGGACACATTCCCGTTCAGGCCCTCTCTTACCTCTTCTCAATCTTAATGGTTTGTAAACTTTAGTGCGAAAATCTCTAAATGAGCTGCTCAACATAAGGGCATAGTTTTTTATTTTCCGGGGCTGGGGGAGAAGCTTGTGGCTTAAAAAGATCTCTGTATCAAAGAGAAATAGACATTGTGAAAAATACCGGGTATCCTATTTTCTAAGTTTCATTCATTTGCTCTCCAAACCATTTATTTACCTTTTGTCTGCCCCATTGCCTTTATCTTGCACCATTCTCATCTTACAGTTTGAACTTCTAATTGCTTCTATCTATGAAAAACTTCGATAAGAGACTACTTTTTCAGAAAAAAGTATTAAGGAAATTCTGAAACAGGTGAGACCAATACAAATTACTATTTTCTTTAAACACCTTGACGGTGCCAAACATAAGATCTTCTAGAAAATTTTTAAAAGTAGTTCAAATACAAATGAGCCCTAGAAAAGACATTATTTTCGACTGAAAATCTCTTGAAGAATAATCAGTTACAACGTAATACAAGACTCAAAGACTGATGACATACAATGAGTGGCCAATGAGCACTGAACAACTTTCAGTAACCTCTAAGTACTGCCTCCATTTCTTTACTTTCCATTCACTCCTTGAACTCAGTGCATACTGGTTTTTGCGCTAATGTCTCCCTGGAAACTTCTCTCCTCATTAAATCACTAGTGATCTTCATTGCCAATCTAATGGACACTTGTTGGACCTTTTCTTCTTTGACTTTTCTGCAATTTGACACTACTGGCCATTCCCTCCTTCTCTGTTTTGAAACCCACTCCAGCTAACTCTTTAGCTCTTCCTTTGTGGGGTTTTCGTACTCTTGATCAGGGGTCAGCAAACTTTCTCTGGCCAGAGAGTAAATATTTTAGGCTTTAATGACTCAACTATGCACTGGTAGGGCAAAAGCAGGCATACACAATGAACAAATGAATGCCTGTGGCTGTGTTCCAGTAAAACTTTATTTGTGACACTGAAATATGAATTTCATATCATTTTCATTGTTGTAAAATATTGTTCTTTTATTTTTTTCCCCCAACCATTTAAAAACGTGCAAAACATTCTTAGCTCACGGGCAAAGCAAAAACAGGTGGTGAGTCAGATTTGGACTGAAGATCACACCTGGCAACTCCTGCTCCTATCCCCTTAATCAGAGTTGCAAGATGGCAGCTGAATTTGGTCATTTACCAAAGAACTGCTAAGCGTCAGGCACCTGAGCCCTTCAAATCTCTGAAGACAGTTACCCTACCGTCCCCAGGTAGGAAGCCTTGCCCTGGGGATTAACCATCCCTTGATGTTCAACCTTTCCAGAGGTGACACAGGTTCACATTTCTTGACTAATCTGGCCTAAATTCCACATGGTTCATAGAAGTTGATCTGTTCCTTTCTACAGTGTGGTGCCCATTACAGAAACTGTAAATCCTTCCCCAGATGCTGTATTTCTACTAATGCAACTTAAGGTTGGGTTAGATTTTATAAATCAGTCATTTCATACTGATAACTCCCATTAGGCCAACCATCACACTAACTGCTTTTTAATAAGGCTATATTACTATGTCCAAACTCCTCCATTATATGGTCTAACTTTTTAATCCTAATCTTTATCCCTGTTAAATCTGATCTATTACATCAATCCCACAAACTCTTTCAATTCTAAGCCTAATATCCAACAAAGGGGGATATTAGCTTCTACCTAAAGGGCTTTTTATTACTTGTTACCTGGGCAGCAGGCCCATCTCTAGTCCATGTCTTCATCTAACCTCCAGCTGAAAGCCCTGTCCTGTTCTCTCCAGACTTCTCACTTTTTTTAAATGATGGACGATAAAGGAAGAATATATAATAAATCTACTTTTTCTCTGAAATATGGACAAATCTTACTTCATTCCTCTGTACAACCAGAGACTTGGCACCAACACAGTCTTTTCTTTTTTCTTATGGGGTCTGCTGGGGAAAGAGGGGAGACTGAGGGTTAAGGGGAGGTTGCTTGAAGGAGGCGTCACCTTTGGAAAGAGGAAAAGGACCAGCCAGGGAAGAGAAGAAGAATGGGATTTAGAGCTCCCTGGCAGGCCTTTGGGAACAAAGAGGAAGATGTGACTATAAAATGGGACCAAAAGTGGAAAGATCGGGGCCTCCCACTACTTACAGTATAGAACACCCCGAGAATAATTTTTATTATTCTTAGTTCTAACAATTAAATCCCTTAAGGAGACCCAAAACAGGTTCTCAGCTCACTTTAGGGTTATTTTACTTTCACTTTTGATGGTGGGATGGAGTAGGGTGGGGTGGAGAGGGTATGGAAACTGTGAGGCTGTATTTCATTTTTCAGTAGGTATGAGAAAGACCCTAATTGGGAGGAAAATTCAGTAGTAAGTAGAAAAAAGTTTGATTTTTAAGACTTTGGCAGAGGAAAAAGAAATATGTTTCTGAGAATAGGCTTGGTACCAAAAAGAAAAGAAAAAAAGATAATCTAATAAAGTATGCCTAATGGGTCTTCAGTTTTCCAATAGAAATACCACTTGCCATACAGAGCAGCTTGTTTCTATAGCTCAGCTAGTACCTGGCTTTGTGAGTTGTTTGTTACAGGCCTAGGCACCCAACCACCATGTTCCAGCGACCAGAGGCTGGATTTTCCAGGAAAATGCCAATTTTCTCATCTGTTGTGCCCATAAATCATCAAAAAGTTCTATAACTATACATACTTATGTGCCTCAATCCTTTTCTAGACAATATGTTGGTTTAGAAAATACGAACACTGTACCACTGTCAATAACTCTATTTCTATGATAAAGTATAATTCACATTTCAAACAAGTAATTTACAAAGATACTTCCAAAGTAAAGCCTATCCTGGGATTAGGAACTGGTTGCAAGTACAAAGAGAGAACACTATTCTAATTAATTAATATAATTATAACTGAGAATGGTTTCAGCTTATTTTATAAACCACTACAAAGTCCCAGACTACATTCTCCTTTGACATGCCTTTTAATTAGAAATATATTACGGTAATGTCGTCATCTGAAAACTTGTTTTCCATAACTAGATTTCCTAAGAAACTAGCACTAGTCTTCCAACATTGTGTGACGTGCTTTTTGGCCTGGTAGCCCAAAAAACCCAAAATGAAACAAAACAATGAAGAAACCAATCATTAGAGTGCCTCTCCATCACCCTTATCTTCCCCCAAGTCACATTTGATTCTCTTCATCCATGTCAATGGTTCTCAACCTGGGGCAGGTACTGGGGTTACCTGCAGAGCTTCTCAAAATATATCTGCTTGGGCTGTGCTCTCAGGTCATGAAGATTTAGGAGGAGGCCCAAGCTTGTGTATTCTGACAAGTCTATGCAAATAATTCTAATGCATACACTAGCTGAGAACCACATATTTAAGCGGGCAAGAAGAGGAGCTAGAACATTAGTCTCAAAGAATTAAGTCTCTCATTCAAAAGGGAAATTGGCCAAAAGTGTAACCATCACCAGACAAGACTGTATGATCAAATTTAACAGAAGAGAAAGAACTGAAAACACACAGATCATTAGGTTCAGAGTGACCTGAGGGACATCTGCTTCTTTTTATAACACATCACTATTTTGTAACAGAGTTAAAATGCATTGTCCTTTTAATGTGCATGTTCCAGGTTCTGGCTCAGAAGATAGTGTGGCCATCTCAGGTATAACACTCCATTTCAGACTCAGTACATGTCATGGACCAAGATGGTTAACAATCCTCTGCAGTTTCTACCTGTAAATAAGGGGCTAGTGTTTGTTTTTTGTTATTGTTCTAAAAAAAAGTTTTGAAAAGGTTTAGTTCAAAACCTGACCCATATACTTTCAAAACAAAGTATTTTTTCTAATCTCTTTTGCTTCCTAAAAAAATTTAAGGCCACTACGAACACTACTACAAGTATTTTTAATTTGTCATTACTGCTCTTTAGTGACTGCAAACATCCATCCTTAATTACTCTACACTCACTCTCACTTATCAAGTGGATTGGAGGCTTAGTCAGCAAGGGTGTAAAATCTAAACCACAAAAGGTTCTAATGACTTAAAAGGGGAAAAAAATCTTACCTTTGGTTTTTTGTTCCGTGACCTGCAAAATAAATGAAGAGACATAAGTAAATGAGATTTGCTTTCTAATTCGGTATTATTAAGAATACTTTAATTCCAATAACTCAAGTAATTCAAGCTATCAGATACACAAGCATAGTTAAAATCCAGAAAAAGCTCGGAGGCAAGTTTAGACATCCTTCTAAAAGACAATGGCCATCATAACTTACATGACCATCATTATGAAGCATACTAAAAATTAAAACAAAAAGCATTCCACTCTCACTAAACGATGAGGTCCTTGTACCAGGAAAGCTGTTTGCCATTTTGATTGCTATGACTAGAGAAAAGCAAATGGATGTGGCCCAGAAACTAAATTAGCCATAGAGACAAAAAGATTACCCTGTGAGTATGGACTCAAACGCTTAACCTCAGATCTAGAAAGCAGAGTTCAGGGACCCATTATCAGAGGTATCAGAGGTCATGGTAGGTTTCGGAACCAAGCTGTGCCCCCTCCTGGCTGTGTGATCTGAGTTTCCTATTTATCTATTGAATGAAGATGATATTAGTATCTCTCTGCACAAGACTGCTGTAAAAATTAGAGATATCCTATGCCAATGCTCAAGAAATGTTTGATATTTTTTCAAAGTTTATAGCGAAAGAATGAAATATGTAAATTTTGAACAGCATGAAATATAGCAAAAGAGTGAAATACGTAAATTTTGAACAAATACAGACTGCTTTGTTAAAGGTATTCCTTTATATACTAATACATCTATAGAAGAGATTGACCTAAAAGGTTGGACAGGTTGAATACAATAATAGGTTTTTAGAGAGTTTGGAAATGATTAGGAGCCACATGAAAAATTATTTCTGCTATTAAGAGAGGAAAATAAAGGAGGGCACATAATTATACATGCCCTATAATATTAAAACAAAACCACAAAAGGTCATGAATAAGAAAAACATCCAAAAGAAAATGCTCCAGAATTCAATAGGGGTTTTATTATATTATTGAGATCATGGATAATTTTGACCCCCTTGCCTAACTTAATCTTCCAAAGCATTTGTATATTGGTTCTCTGACTTTTATAATAAAAATATTCATAGAAAAAGAAGAGGTCTGATTATTTTTGACTCATAATCATACTAAATTACTGCTGTGGGTGTTCACGAAAACATGTTCATCTCTGGTGGGTTACGTCCCGTAACTAACCAGCTCATTGCACAATGGATTCCAGGCGCACCACCTGTCAGACAATGAATGAGTTAAAAAATCTACTTGTGTGACCTCCTGGAGTGTTTCTTAAATTCTTGCATTAAAAGACAAGCTAATTCTACTGTATTGAATTTGTGGTAGACAGCATCTTAAAATGAATGTGTTTCTCAGTGCTAATTGTTACAGATCTCAATTCAACTGTATAATTTTTGTATAATCCCGTTTATCTAAGAATGAACTGATCTGTATCCACACCAATTCTTTAAGGCAGTTTAAGGTTTATACCATTGTGCGTGTTTCTTAGAATGCCATTCTGAAGATCAGTTTATACAGGAAGTCAATGCCTTCCCCAATTGTAAGTGACAAATCCAAATAATGTCAAATATGTCTTATAGTGTGGGTTCTGTTAAAAGAGCTGCCCCCAGACGGTGAAAAGCTGGATGTTCAAAGCATGTGTTCTGCCAACACTAAACAATGATCCTTTAGCAACATCAGCCTAATGAATGCTAATGGAATCCTTCTTTGACACCTCTCATGAATGGAAATCTAACAGTTTACTCAGTGATGGCTCTAGAAAGAGCAAACTACCACCGAACACAATGGTAAAAGCTCATATTTAATTTCTGCATCGAAATAATTAAACTTAACTTTAAATGAAAGTCAATTCTTCGAGAAAATTATGTTGCCAGCACTCATTCTTGATCATTCATTTATTAAACAAATATTTTTGAGTGACTCTTAAGCACTAGGCACTCACTATCCCAGTTATTGGAAATACAAATATGAATAAAACCTTGAGAAACTTATTACAGTCTAACGGGGAGAGACACACACGAAGAGATGATTATAAAGCAATGGGCTAGGCAGTGAGAAAGATGTGGAAGCAGTAAGAGGCACCACAATGCTTGCTGACTGACTGAATGACCGCATAATAGAACCTCTGGCACGTTCTCTACAATTCTTTGCATCGAAGCACATTTTATGCCTCCTAGCTGAGGTGTAGTCTCTACAATAAAGTTGGAAACCACTAAGACAATCACATGGTAAGCTTTGCGTTCTCTCCTTAAAACTGCTAAATCACAATTTCATTCTAAAATTTCACAATGGTTCAGTATAAAACAATACCAAAGGCCATGTGTTGGCCTAGATCCTGTGTCAGCTGATCTGGAACATTTTGAACAAAATGACTGAATTTTTATTGTTCATAATTAACCCCCTGGAATTTTATTTATGGTGATTTTCCTCTTTGCCATAATGTCTTAACCAGTTCTTCATGCAGATGTAAGCACACAGATCATCCAGCTGAATCATCTGCATTCTCTGCATAAATAATCCTAATTTACTCTTGAACAAACCCACACCATTTTTAATTTCAGTCATTTTTCTATTAGAGGGAGCCACAATGAAAATTTACAGATTCATATGGTATGAATCATTTCTAGATATTGATATTTTCATGTTAAGAGAACACTGGTATCTATGTGAAGAATGAAGATGGACTGTACACATCCTAATCAATTGCTCTATTTGGCATCTTGATACCAGTCTTTGCTCAAGCTCCCCAATGTCCAGCCTATTAACCATCTATTCCCACAGACTGCAAAACCTAGTTTTTCTACCAATTTTGTAGATGAAATGTGAATGCCCTAAAGGAAAGAGCCTTCGCCAAGGTTCGCTCTGCCATCGCTCCACTTGGAGGGTCAGCATGTGTAGGGCGCAGGGTAATGCCCGTAATACCCGCTGGCTGCTGGAGCTGCTTATCTGCAACCTGGATGACACGGAATGTGGCTGCATACCCCAAAGAAAGTATAAAAAGAGCCGTTGAGTCATTATCTGACAACTTTAGTCAAGACTCTTTAATGTCATTTTAGACAATTCTCACAAGATCAAGTTAGAAGCAATGCATTAGAAGAAGGCACCCTGAGAGCATGAGGATGTGATAGAAACAAACACAACTAAAAGCAGACAAGATCCGAAAGAGCACAGAAGTCTATTACAGCACCAACCAATAATGAATATTCATTTTAATTAAGTCAAGAAGAAAAGATAAATTACATTTCACAAGCTTAATGTGGCAGAGGCATGGGCAACCAGTTCGGAAAACACTTCCAGTATTCTTTAATGCTGGCACTCATACATGATCTAATTTTGATAATTCAGAAAACTGAACTACGGGAAATGCAATATCCAACAATGCTGGAAAAACTTGTGGTGTCCCTTTTACAAACTTGCACTGGCTTGTGTTCGACTGCCTTGAGTCTCTTCTAAATCTAGAGTTCCTTCTAGATTCAATTTCTCTAAACTTAGCTTCAATACACTGGGACCACAGCAGAGACCCTCAAACCTGCCTCTTACAGTGGGGCCCTGCTTCCCAAGGGTATGGTAACAAGAACTGCAGGCAGATCATTTTGCCTCCAAAAAAGGATCAAAACAACCCTGTTGAGCCAAAGCTCAAGTCAGGAGATGCTTAAAAGAGTGGCAAGGTGGGGAAATAAATTCAGCCGAGGTCCAGGGCAGGGGCACAATCTGCAGCAAAGGGAGCAGGGCAGAGGGGAGTGCCTAACACCTCTCTGCTCCAGAAGGCCCTGTCAAACACTTCGTCTAAGACTTGACAGTTGACATTTGTCAACCCTACATCTTTTTTTCTTTTAGCATCTCTTTTTCCCTAAGCAGATTCCTCAAAGCCATACGATGCTCTCCTCTTCAAAGCTCTAAGGAGGCCCACCAGGTCCTCTATAAGGGAAGTTTTGTTAGGAAATTATCAAAAGGCAGGCTCATATAAATGACAATGCTGGAGGCGGACCAAAAGGAGAACAGCAGGGCAAACTCCAGCAACTCTGAAGTTATTCTATAACCTGCTTAAGAAAACAGAGATTAATTATGATACAATTAAGGAAATACGACGAGAGTTCAAGTGCTGGTAACTGTCTTGCATTTCTCAATATTGTTTATTGTTGTTTTCATATAATAATCAGCTGCAACATTATTTAACAGGCATAATTGATTAAACCTACCTTCTGAGTGGCTTCTTTTTTCTTTTTATCCTCTTTCTTCCTTTTCTTGTCTTCCATTAACTGTTCTTCCCTTTCTTGCTCCTTCTCTCTGTTAAAGTAATGTCACACCAGAAGGTTACACAGCTGTATTTGTAGCAAATCGAACACTTGTAGATGGTGTGCAAGGCAACGTTTCATCTCTGTGACTGACTGAGCAGAACACCGTATTTTACTTAAACTAGGAGGAGGATGTACAAAATTCACCATTTAATGACCCCTGCATTTTGGTTTGTAACCCTTTTTGCAAAACATGACATTAAGTTTGGTTTCAAAGAAGTCTATTAAAGTGAGTTTTTATGACATCTTCCTAAAATACACACACATACACACAATATTAGTTTATTTAAACTCAGCAAAGAATCTAGTGTGAATATATGACAATATACAGTTGGCTTCTGGCAACATTCCTCACAAATAACACCGAATATATTAATTCAATTATGGTACACAGGTATTTATTATAATTTAGGTTTTCCCATGACATCTTGACATCTTCAGAGTGGTTAACACAACACTCTATGTTCTATATCTTGTGTTTTTAAGGCAGGTACCAAGTGTCCTATATATCCATGTATTTGTTTATTGAATGAGTTCACAGTTGCATCTTCTGAGCATATCTGAATTAGGACAATCAGGTTTTGCTCCTCCCAATCAAAATATAAATAATACACGATAATAAACATTCTAGCTGAGGAAATGTGCTGAATCTTAAGAAATTAATGTAATTTCTTAAAATGTAATTTATACCTCACATTTAAAAAGTAACTTTAAAATGTAATATTAATTCTAATATATTACAGAATATATTCTAATATATATAGAAAGCTGCCAACTTTCACTGTATTTATCAACTAAGAACACATCAGCAAGCACTGGTGTAACTTCAAAGCTCAAGGCAAGAGACCCCAGAAAGTATGCTTATTGAATTTCAGAACAAGAAGAACTGGAGATCTAGTTCCCAGGTCCCCAAAGCATTCAATAGATACTGCCTGCAGTACTTGTGATTTTAGGGGATCAATACATCAAATCCGTGGTTTCACAGAAATCATTGAGAACAAGGCTAAGTTAAAAGTCAGACAAGCTAAAGAAAAATGTTAAGTAAACATTTGCAGATGTGGCAAAAATTGCAAAGATGGTTCCTGAAGGACTCACGCTGGGGGAGTGGAAATCACTCGACCACTAGAGAAAGTCCTGGGGACCAACACTGAGGCATGCTCTCATGAAAAGGCAATTAATTAATGCTTTACTTATAGAAAACAAGGACTAAAACTACTAAAACAACAACAACAACAACAAGAGTTTCATCTACATGCCAAGTTTCCAGTGGCTCTGTCCACATTCACAAACGTGGGTTTTTCTCCTTTTGTACCTCTGGGCATAAATACACAAAAGCCTACATGGCACAGTTCACACTCTAAAGGTAACTTGCATGAAAACTTCAAAAACATAATCAAAGAAGGGATTTTACCGAATTCTCCTTAGGTTTAGAGCTGGATTTCTTTGGAGTCAGATAACGCCTATCAGTCTCAGTGTGGAGCCCTTGGTGAAAATCCACTTGCAGCCGTGCATTACTTTAAGAAAATGGATTTACGAAAATTGGCAAGATGGATGTTGACCATCTAAGGTAGGTTGACCACAGATCCTGTTATATTTGGCTCCTAGAGCCTCCTGCTTCCTCTGGCCGCAAGTGGAAGGAGAACATGGGGTTCCTCGGGACCCAGTTACTGTAACTTAGTTTCCATACGTTAAAGTGCCACTGACTATAGAAAGAGAGCAACCACAGTCCGAATATCTCCTATTTAATATTTGATCCTTTAAAAAGCATTGAGTTGCAATTTTTCTAAATCTCTTCTAAAATTAATAGTTTATTTTAAAAATGCAGTGTAAAAAAAAAAGCAGTAAGTCTTTAATGAGACACATTCTTAAAAAACAACTAACCTTTTCAAATATTTTTTCCTATAAACAGGTAATTCAGGGAAAGGGACTGAAATTCATGTTCACTACAAGCAGATTTATTTCCAAAACAAATATTTTTCAAAGCTTTCCAGGAGACAGGCTGTGCTTTCACCCTGATCTTTTACCACGTATACTGGCAGAATTGAGTCGTCTCTTTACATTTCACTTCCTTAGGAAGAATTTATTTTCCCAAACCAAACCTAACTTAAAAACCTGCCATTCACTTAATAATGGAACAAATAGTGTGGGGTTCACCTTCTGACTCAGTTCTGCTCTATCTTGGCTGCACGTTGACATCGTTTGGGGAGCTTGCGAAGTCAGAGCCTAAGCAGTGTGAAGAGGGCATGCAGGCAGGGACGGCATCTAGGTGGTAGTGATGCGAGACTGGTTATATACAGGGGGACTGATCAATAAATAAATATATTAAGGATAATGACAGGCAGGTTTTCAGTGTTGAAAAAGGAGTTATGAAAATGAAAAGAGAAAAATCAAAAGAATCCTGTGGAGTTGGACCAATCAGTTATTGGCAGGAACTCATGGTTTTTAATATACTATGAGCTACCTGCCTGTTAATCACTTAGCTGGTCTTGTTATCAGATCAACTGTCGCACTATCGCAGTGCTTGTGTTCATACAGCCCTTATTTTACTTAATTGTGGCCCCAAAGTGCCAGCTTGGTGATGCTGGCAATTTGAATATGCCAAAGAAAAGGCACAAAGTGCTTCCTTTAAGTGAAAAGGTGTGTATAGGTAAAAACAGTACATATAGGATTCGGTACTATCCATGGTTTCAGGCATCCATCCACTGGGGGTCTTGGAACATACCCCTTGTGCAGAAAGGGGGACTACTGTGTGCGTAGTCTTACACACACACTCTCTCACTCTCTCCCTCTCTCTCTCCCTCTTTCTCCCCATCCCTAGTTCTATTACTGAGAGGGCTTGGGAACAACCAACCACCAAATAGCAATGAACACATCTAGCACCCAGATTGTGGCTTCTAACTACCATTCTTCACTAAAAAACCCAGAGTTCTTTGGAAAAAGAATTAATCTGGGGGCCAGGAGAAGGAGAGCACATGATGAACCTTAAATGCCTGCTTGCAAAGCAAGGAAATGTTTAACAAATGACAGATGTGTCAAATGGTCACAGAGGCCAGTTTGAAGGGGCTCCTACAAGCTAAATCCGGGATGTATTAGCATAAACATAAATAATGATAGTAACAGATTATAAGCCATTGGATAAAATAGGAGAATATTAGTCCAAACAGACAGAAGAAATAAGTAGGAAAATAAATCGATGTTCTTGTTTTTTAGAAAACTATGTGGAATATTCACATCGTTTTAAAGTGTCTCCTCATAAAAATATACTTATTAACTAGAAAAGAGAAAAGAAGCCTGGCAGATACCACCTTCATCAAGTAATCCACATGAACATCATCAGTAATGGGACAAATTGAAATTCTGAGTTACCTGATAGGATGCTATGAGAACACAGCACCACTTTTATGAAACTCCTTCCAAATAAGTATAACTTGAATATCACCATGAGAAAACAGACAATCCCAAATTGAGAGGCATTTTATAAAAATAACTGGTTTGCAATCTTCAACAGTTTAAAGATTCATAAACGTCACGGAGATTGGCAAACTGTTCTAAACAAAAAGACACTAAAGAGACACAATAACCAAATGCAAAGTGTGATCCTTTTGCTATAAAAGACATTAAGGGGGCAAATGTCAAACCTTGAGTAGGGGCTGAAGGTTAAATGACAGACAGTAATGTATTAGTGTTAATTTTTTTTTATTTTGTTGGCTGTATTGTGGTTATGTACAAGGATGTTCTTATTTTTTTTACAAATAAGCATTAAGATTGCAGGTGATAGGACATCGAGTCAGCAGTTTATTCTTAAATGATTCAGAAGTAGTTTTTTTAAAAAATCATACTTGCAACTTTAAGTACAAGATTGTCCCCCCTCATCCCAAAAAAGATCCAAAAGACAAACATCGACAAAACCATTACCTAGACAGCATCCCAGATCAATTACATAGAAAAATCTCTGAGGATTTTTTTTAAAAGCACCCCCATCCAGGTGGTCCTACCATGTAGCTAGGACTGAGAACTACTGCTCTAAAATTTTGTGTTTAAGCCTAAACTTTAAAATATTATCTATTTATACCTCAAAAATCAAACCACCCTTACAGCAACCAAATACAAATGCCAGGTGACTAGGCAGGCCCTACTTAACCATAACTGCTTCTAAGTGTGAAAGCAGGAAAAGTCATTCATATTTTTCCCATCTCTAAGTCCACAGCTAGATGCAAGTGCAAACAGTGTAATCTAGAATAAATCCAGAATGGTAAAAAGCCAACCTGCTCTTAAGGATGTCTAAAGTCAAGAAAACATAACAGTGTTTTCTTTTTCTTTTTAAATGACCGTTAGTTAGTTCCAAGATGAACAGGTGACTTGTTTATTGAGAAAGGCAATACTTGAATGGAGGAAATATCCAATATTTGCCTGAGCTGAGGCAGAGCAAGAATCCTTTTCTGTACACAAGTTCAGAACACAGACGAACGATGCTGACAGCCTAAAAAACCTTCTTCATCACACGGCCAAAGCCTCCAAGGGTCCAAGACCGTGCAAGGAAGTAAAGAGAGTCAGATCTAGGTGACCTCTCCCTAGAGCTGACACTCAAGGACACTCATAGTACAGTTCCAACTTCCACCTTTTCCCTCACCCATCCTTCATACCTGACATAAACACCTTCCTCCTTCCTTTTTGTTGCCAGTCACATCTTACCCTGTTGTCAAGTTTTGGCTCAACATTCATCTGCTTCAAGGAAACCTCCCCTGACAAATCCAGTTCACGAGAAACTTGCCCTCCTCTGTACACCCACTACTCCAGCCCTGCCTCTTGCCCGGCCCTCGAGGAGTCCCAAGGCAGATGCTGGCAGTCACGGGCAGCATCAGAGTACGTGCAATGACTTTTCTGTTGCGTGGCTGCTTTGAGCAGGGATCTGGGAAGCAGAGACTGGTGAGGGGGCTCCTGTGTTTCATTTCCCTTCTACCAGGAGGCCCAGGAAGTGATTCGTTCCTTTAA